TGAATGCTTTACTAAGCCAGGATCTGAACTAGTCCCATGACAAAGTCCAAGGGGTCCAGAAGGAGGATTCAGGATCTACCATTAGCCATAGATGAAATTTTGATGGTAATTTCAATGCTGGTACGGTCAGGTCCTCAGATACAGAAGCACAACTGGCACTACATCTTCTGTGACCATATGGAGAATTCATTGCACCTTTCCAAGGTTCTGAACCAGAGTGTAACAGCTTTAGGAAAGTTAAGGCCATTAAGCTATTCTATTGCAGTTTTTCACACCACATATCCTATGCTATAAAAACTGAACCAACTTGAAAATGAAAATTATCTCTTCATTTTAGGGCTTACTTTGGTATTAATCTTTTTGTGGCTTGCCTTTTTCCTCCCAGCTGTTTTCCTTCCTATTTACTGTACGTGGTTTTTATTGAAACACAGCTGTCCAGAAATCGATGCTTTTGAAGGCAGAGTAGGTACATAACTGAACTCTACTAAATGGCTTGCTCTGTTCACATGAGGTTTGTTAAATATCAAAGAGTAGAAAGCAAATACTGAACACTGATGTGGGTCTTCATCATTTATCATTTGCAGATTATAGTGTTTTTGCAACTATGAAAGATAAAGCCATACAGGATATAAAATGAAGGCAATAATCCTCTATGGATCTTTTTTGTGTAAATTGCTGTACAAGCAGTTAATTCTCATAGCTCCCAGGAGGTAGACAGGTCATCTGAACACCCTCAACTCTTTAAATATAAAACTACAGCAAGATGTGGTTTTGGCATATGTACTATTTCTAGATTTTTATAACTTTGGAAGCATCCCTGCGTGATTGGAGTTATTGGCAAGCTTCCCATTGATTTCAGGAGTTCCTGATAAAATCCACTGATTTTATGAATCAATTAGAAAATCCTGGTTTTGGACTACAAACAAAAAGAAAGTGATGTTTACCATGGAAAATTCAGAATCAGACTTCAAACACTCTGCACGTGGGTTTATTTGAAGAATGATTCACTGTTGATATAGCTGGAGTTGTTAGCAAGTATATGTTTAAATCATCAGAATTGCAGTGTAACCAGAAATGCTTAGAACTTTGAAATTTCAGCTAGATAATGAAATAGAAGTAATGAACTTACTGTCCCTTACTTGAACTTGCTGAATGAGTGCTATGATGCTATGGGAGCTTGACAGTACTCGGCTGGACAGAGTCACTAATCTGATGGGGCTAGTAAGGGTGTTGCTTGTTTCTTTCTTTGCAAGCTATTGCTGGGGCTGCTTTTGATATTAAATGCAGGAGCAGCACCTAGGTTTACTCAAGTTACAGGTCTCCTTTGTATCACCTTTTGTACTATCAGTAGTACAAAGTGATACAGTAAGCCCTTCCCTGAAGTGTAAAGTTTATTTAAAGAAATACTTAAAATTCCAAGCCTCTCATAAAGGAATTGTGAGGAGCTACAAACCTCTTGGTAAATCTTCATGTTTAGGTTAAGCACATCCTTTCTACTGCAAATATAAACCCTCCATGATACACTTAGGCCATTCTCAGTGCAGATTTCCGTCAGGAAGTTCTTGGGGAGTACTCAGTAGCATCACAGCATGGATTTGACTGTATGTTTAATTTTATGTGCAATTCTGCTATTACACACATGAAGGTCTTTAAAGTACCATTCCTCCATACTCTGCACACTAAAATCCCTCACTGAAATGAAAGCTGGGAGGCTAGCCATGGGATTCCAAACCTTTTTCTTTAAATAAGAAATATAATGATAATTAAATTTTTTTTTTTATAAAATACTTTATTAAGAATAATAAGAGTAAACAAGGTTACAAAAATACCAACTTTATTAACTAATGAAGAGGCAGTTAATTACAGAAGATTTTTAATACAAGTTATAACCACAGTGTTCCCTTTTCATTAGGCATTCAGCCAGATGCGTTTAATGGGAGCATTATTTTTTCCCACTTAAATATAAAAAAATACTCCCTATCATACACTGAATTCCACAGGCAGCTCCCTGAAGTTAGATCCCATGCAAGGAAACACCATACAAAATTGCCCAAGGGTTTAAAAAGGAACACTGTAAAATTTTAGGATGAAAAGCCATGTTAGTTCCTGCCAGCAGCCCCAACATTCATAAAACAATAATATACCAGTGCATGTGAGGGAGGAAGAAAATAATCGATAAGGAAACAAGGCTAAACAACCAATCCAATAGGTTCCATGTGGGTCAACTAGTTTACAGCCAATCTTCCAGAAGGACAGCAATACAGCCTTGCCTCCTGCTGCAGTTGCTGTGGAGTTGAGAATCTGTGTGCTTTTCAGTGTACAAGGATGCATAAAGTTCAGTGCACGGCTATAGCAAAAAGCACTGAGCAACTCTGAGCCCCCCTCTTTTGACAATCACATTCACTGATTTCAAGGGACATTTTGCCTGAGTAGGTTTTGACCCTCAGAGATGTACATGGACCCTCGTCTGCAAAGCTCTAACTCGAATAGCTCTGTCAAGTACGTTGGCATTACCTACAGCAAAGGTTTGCAGAATGCCTCAGAGAATTTAAATTTTAAACTAAAGAAGATTTCAGCAGTAGCAGCAAAAATCTAGACCAGTACATTCCCAATGAGAGCTACAGTTTCTCTGAGGGTCATGAGGTTTATGAGAGAACAAGAGATAGGGGGAAAAGCTTTTCTAAGGAAAAATTGTTTTCATTAATGAAAGAAAGAAGCATCAGCCAGTTCCAATGCCCAAAGAAAATCAGTAATTAAGTTGAACTAACTTCAGTAGCACAAAATCACCTTTTTGGGTTTAATTCAAAAATTTTATATCCAGTTTTTATACTTTTCAGAGACCAAGGATTAATTACAACAAAGAGAATGAAGATGAAATTCAATGGTATTTAAGAATGTTCATAGATAAGAATTTAAGTTCTGTACCCTTTACTTCTAATATGAAAAAAGCCACATCTACGAAGTAAAGTGCAACTCCTGCTGAAGTTAGTTAAGAGGGTTTCCAGCAATTTAGATGGGCACTAGACCAGGTTCCCTTGTTATTACAGCAAGAAAAATATCAGAACAATGAAAAAATATCTATAGAGTGTCCTTTAAGAGAATCCTGTAGTTATAACAGTTGCCTGGTACGGTACCATTGGTACCAACAAGAAATATTCACAGGAATAAATGAAGTACAAATTCATTACCACATATCCTTATTCTTCTCTTCCCTTGCTCTTCAGAGTCTCGTGTGCCCTCCATACTGAGATAGAGAGAGCAAGAGCACCCGATAAGCAAGTGCATACAAACATGTTAAGTTCTGGAGCAACAACTCTGCACAATTTATTTTACTGATGTGCTGCCCAGAACAAACAGGTAAAAATCCTTACACGTTGTCTAACAAAAAACAGTATTTTTATCATATATATATGTGTATATATATATATATAAAAATCACAGTCTTCTGCACAGCAGAAGCTTATAACTAAAATATTTTAAGATTCAATTTCTTTTAGATAGACATAACAAAATGCCTGCAAATATAATACAGTGGGCACATAACAATTCTTAGAGTACAAAGAGTGAACATGGAGTTATATATTTTATCCACATTCTGCTTGTGACTGGAGACAAAACTCTCTTGGAGTTTTTTAAAAGTTTCTCTTAAAAAGTTAATCCTTTCAGTAAGATATGGTCAGTATATACTTACTAAGAATACGTTCTTCACATACATGGCAATAATTAACTGTAAATACAATAGGCTAAATCCTGTCCTCTTTAAGCCTGGCAAGCAAGAGAGCCCAAAAGGAGAATAAAGTCTTCAGAGGCAGCTGGAATGTATCAGTACAGACTATCTGCGCAGCATCCACCACCTCCAGATCTGCTGTACAGAGAAGTCGCATCTTACCCAAAGAGACTATTTACATCAAGAGGAATTTCAGAAGCTCTGCTTGCTGAAGGACTTCTTCCTATGTGCCAGCAGAATCTTCTGGATGCTTGACAGAAATCTTAGCATGCCAAACCACTTGAGCATGGGCTGGAAAGCATCCCAGTTCACCAGGAGATGTAAGCATATTTGAGTCCCATTGAAATGAAAGTGCACTGTTGAAAAAAATATTTTGGCGAGTCAGCATGAAGACCGCCTCCCAGGACAGCTCCCCTGAACTGGTTACTTTCTGCAAGGCAAAACTCAACCCTGTGTCTTCTGAATGAAATGTCCTTTTAGAAATGTCCTACACCATGATGTCAGCTTAGCGGCTATGCAGTCAGATATGATACACGTCATACAAATTGCTAATGGAAACATTTACAGTTATGCAGTCAAGTGAAGTAACAGTGCAGTTACTTATGCAATTACATGTACAGTAGTAAAACAAACAAGTTGATATATGTTGTATCAATTTTCCAGAAAATACAGGGTAAATGGTGCCACCTATAACAACATATTTGTATACTTCCAGCCATACCAGTAAATGCCTAAAGGAGAACACATGCTTTTCATGGACGCTATTAGTTCCCTTTCCTCATCAATATAAAGTGATGGCTTTACATACAGGCAGAAAACACAAGCTACTAAACTATTGGTGATGTTTTCCATATTACATAAAAGATCATATCAATATCTGCAATAATTTTATTACCCTGAAATTCATTATACAGAGGATATAAATTTGTCCAAATCTAGGTAAGGTTTTATTAAAGATCTTAAGTTTCTGAAAGCCTATTAATGTATAACTTACTTTTCCCAGTATTAAGTCTCTCAGTCAGGTGCCAGATCCAACTATTCTAAGTGTTCTTTTTCCTGCTGCAAATAGTTACTTACACGAAATAATTAGAATCAGCTGAGTTTTTAACACTTGTCTATTGAGGAAGATTTGGGTATATTTGATTGAAATTTCTTTCAATGGCCAAAGTTTGCCAGTAGCTAATCAGGACTAATTTTTCAATCTGTATGAAATACACTTTTGGCATTGTATATCTATGGTTATATGTTATAAACAAATGATTGATAGTTACTAACCAATCCACTTTTATGTCTCATCCTTCATCCAAAAGGGATTTTGAGATCTCTATTATGGGACCACATACGCACTGGAGGAACTAAGTGCAGAATTAGGCTCTATAACCACTATGTAAAAGGAAGTTATATTGACTTCTATGAGAACTCTGCTTGCAGCAGGCTTGTCAAAGTCCATCAATAATGAAAAGATTAATTTCTAAAGAGATTATTTTTTAATGAAATATTGACCTCTTATAAGGGCTAAAGAGAAACATGATCATGTATGCTGTCCTTGACAGATGCATATATCTCTCAATAGGTCTTTTGTAATATACGAAGAGAAATATACGGCTCATAGAAAGAATAAGACGTGATAAATAAAACTGTGATTCGATTCTCCTCCTAAAATAATCTGAAGAGCAGCATAAAAGAGGTCATATGATCTATTCCTAAGAAACCTTTATCATCCAGTAACGTTTTTGCAAAATTTTTTACCCATTCAAGTATCTTCAGGAGATATGTCACCATACTTGCATATACTGTAAGTCACTCCAACATTTATAAAACAACACTGATTGATAGACAAAAACACCAAAACCACCCATAAATACTAAAAGAAGCTCAATGAACTTGACTATCAAGTAGTTAAAAAATTGTTGATCTTTACATTACACATTAATTCCATGCTGTCCAAAATCTTTCTCTGAATGGAAGTTGTCAAGTTTTCAGGGTTTTCTGTAGGTCATCATAATCTTGTGTATCCACCGGGAATAATATGAGACTCGAACAAAAATCCCAGGACGATTTCGAATGGCACATCCACGGCCAGGAACAATGACACCAACTACTATCTTCAGTCTGTTTTGTTCACAAACCAAAGGACCACCATAATCTCTCTAGGAAAAAAATAAAGAATGACACTTCTCAAAATGCTTCAAGACACAGCTCCCACCTGTCTCCTACTGACTGGTGTCTTTTGGCAGCGACCTAGCTCAATGAACAGGCAATAGAATTATTCTTGCCATAAGACAAAAAAACAAATTCCAATATCTTTTCCACAGCCAGAATTTAGGAGAATCAATGTCAAGGTTAGCCTTTAATCTTTGATTGCATCCTGTGCAAATTAAACCCTGTGATGGATCTTTCCATGCGATTCTAGTGACTTCAGACTATCAGACCTTACTGTCCTCTTTCAGTTACCTGCAAGCATAACACTTGCTTATGTGCATATAAGCAAGATAAGCAGAAAGTGAGTTGACTGATAAACATCTGTGTTATGGTAAAAGGCTTTGCATCAAAGACTACTGACAAAGCCAGGTTAATATTCTTCTGTCAGGCCACCATCTTGCAAGGCCCTAGAATAAGAATCTACGCATACTAATAAGAAAGGGGGAGAATTCCAAATATAATAAAAAGTAATAGTTTGTAGACACAATTTTGAGATGTAACTTTTTAAAATGCTCTTGTTCAGCATTCTGAGTGGAGACATCTATGCACCAGTACATGCATTCAGAGAAAATTTGGAGTATGGCCAACTCAGATCTCGGTCTTATTTAGCACTAAAATACATCATTCCAAATACACCGAAACAGTAATTTAGATACATTCACATAGATCTTGGACAACATAGACACTATGTTCAAAACAGACACTGCAGCTTTTACCCAGGCAAAACATACACTGAACCTAGCAAACTACCTGCAAAGCTAGACAGTAAATGTCCGTATCAGATAGTGAGATAATTGTTTCAAAAAATAAAAGCTGACAAGTAGCATTGTAATCTCTCCGGATCACCAGAGAAACAACAACGCCTGACCTTTATTTGATGAAGATTTTTTTTCCTGACTGACTGCAGATTAGTTCCCACATGAGCAATGAACTATGTCAGTACCATCAGAGCAGCTCATAAAACACTTTCAGGAGTGGAGTTTCACCTGCCAATTTGATTTTGTTTCTCTGCCTGCTCTCTGCTGAGGAAAGTAGCTTCAAAGGAGAACTCAAGGAGCAGGAAACCATGCAGTCATTAAGACTGATTGCTAATATTAATTCAGTCCATTTCTTCCAGCAGGAGAAAACAAAGTGCAGGATCCCCTGCAGACTTCCATGCAGATGTTTCATTTATAAGCCTTGACATGCCGAAGAGCTCACTTATGATTAAATATTTGATTTTGAAGAAAATACTTTGCAATAAAATAATGATCATGTGGAAAATTAATAAAAGGAAGAGGCTTCAGTCAGTTGAAGACCTCAGTTTACCATGGTTTGGTAGAATGCTTGGGTAGAGAAAATTTTACTAGTTGGTTAAGATCACTATTAGCAAACCATCTGTCCCAGATATTAAATGCATAATAATGTTTATGACTGTCCTCCTTCTATATATCAGGATGATTTTCCACATGAAAAATTATATCTTTCTGTAATAAGTGATTTACAGCATTTCTCCTCAGATGTCTTTTCTCCATCATCAAATCTAATCCCAAGCAAAACAATATTGAACTACATACTTTTTACTGAGGTAGGTTTCTGCTGTCCTCACTGATATGTGCTCAGGTTTGATTAGGAAGACCAAATGCTTCGCCTTTCTGACTAATACTGAAACTCAGTACATTTTTTGATCTTTCTTCTTCCCTCATAACTTTATCAGCTCTGTTGAGCAATGACTTTTCTGTATTTTGCATACAAGTCCTCATCTAATCAAACAGTTAAATTTGCTCCAGGCTTTGCTTTCTGCTCAATCAAAATATGCTGCTGTTGATAGCACACAGCCCACTGTAGCCCTTATTATACAAATAGAAATTTGTCCCAGTCTAGTAAAGTGTTTAGTCATGTGATTATATTTAACATTCATGCAAATCTTTTACTAGGGTGGTGGTACGGTAGAATTGAAGTGAAGAAATCTTTTCCTGCACTCTTGCTGAAAATAGGTCACTAGAAATAAATAATTTTCCGGTGCAAAATATTAAAAGAGGGGGTCTTTTGGTGTAAAAAGTTTAATGCAGAGATAATAGTTGCAAAAAAAACACGCTAAATTATTTCTGGTAAACTATATCTAGCTGATGGCTCCTCAGAATGTATTAGGAAATGTGATATTTACCTCACAAGGCCCAGCACCAATGGTTTCAGCCACAGCACAGATTTCTGACTCATTCACAATGATCTTCCCTTTGAGATACTGATTGCATTTCTCATTTCCCAAAACAAACAGATTTGCTACCCGAAGAAGACCATCGTAGTTAATTACTAGGATTGGAAAGAGAATGAAAACTTTATTCTATTTTAAGGAAAAAAAGAAATTGAAGATACAAGTCCAAATAAACTTACTCATGTAACTTCAGTTATTGTACTTTCCCACCAGTAATCACATTTTTTGTCCATCCCCATTCTCACCATGCATTTGTCTTTTGGATTTCTTATATTTGCTGCAAATGAGATTTGCAAGAAATTTGTTTGGTGGGCATGTCTGTTCAGTTCTCTCAAGATATCTGGAGAAGTTTTTTGTATTAGAAGCAAGGGATAGGTATCTGGTTTTACCCTACAGTTCACCACCAGCTTGCCCTGTTGCATCACAGAAATCAGAGCTGAGAATATTGTCTCTCCCATGAGTGGAGTAAGGATTTTGCTCCCTGCTTCAAACACAATTTAGCATGTATGAGTGCCTGCCACGGCCTAAGGAAGGAAGTGTGACTTGAAAAATACTGTAAGAGAGCAGAGTCTTTCTTATTCTGTGGTGGCTCAGCTACACTGAATGACTCTGTGCCTGCAAGGGCAGAGCCACAGCCTTGTGCAATCTCCATTCATCAGTGTGAAGGTCAGGAAGCAGGAGCCCTGTGGAGCTTACTCTTGTTCTATATGTCGAAAGACAAGTCTGTACAAGCTGCAAAGATAAATAAAGGGCCTAGACTTGCCCATTCTCTGCCTAGCCATCAAAAGAAAACAACAAGTTCTCCCATCACTGACTTTTTATCCTGTTTTCTTGAAAAAAAATAGATGTAACACTTACTGCTTTCCTGCCTTGAGTGCTGTGAGGATTATAATAAGTAATGCATAAAATAATATAGTACAAAGCCCTTGGAAGACAGATGTTATGTATTCACTGCATTATGTAACTCCACAGCATTTCAAATTCCTTATCAGTTCTAGTAAGCTAAGCTTTCCTGCAGTGCTGCACCATGCTCCAGCCTGACTTTCCTGTCCTCCAGACAGCCATTCCCTGCAGAGGATGGTTAATATGGCCATGCTGGGAACACCAAATGTAGTCATCTGGGAAAGGGCTGGTACAGATTACTTGCCACCCACAAAGGAACACAGTGTAATGGCTACAAAGAAGAGAGCCTCAGGATTATGGTCTAGTTTCTGCTCTGCTTCCAGGAGAGCATGAATATGTTGCTGCTGCTTACTCAGGGTCTGTGGCAAAATGACATTTGAGCACAGCAATTATTGTAGTAATTATTGTCAACTGGCAGCTATTAACTTTATCATCAACACATAATTAGGCAAATATAGTATTTACCAGGCTAACTAAATGTCTGTTCTCTCACATATTTCTATTTACTTCACATAAAACCTGTGTTTAATAAACATTAGTAAGGTTGCAATGTCAAGTACTGAAAAGTTAGGGAATGCCAGACTTAGGGCTGTCTGTGCATCCTTAGCTCAATGTCTTTGTATATGTTAATTATGCCTTTGATTACATGACTCTGTTAGTTTTTCCACAGGGTGGCCTGCTTTAGCATACAGAAAGACTGCTCAAGTAGATGAATTGGAATGTTTCAAAAAAGGTTTAGAACTCTGCAAAATAATTTTGCCAGATTTTGTAAACATGTAGAACAATATATTTTGCTAGTTCATTCTTTGAAATGTTTGAACCATTTCGCCTGTCCATTAAACAAACAAAAAATAAAAGTTGGACTAGAGAAAACATTTAATATTAAATGATCTCAGGTGAAATGCTCAAAGAGTTACAAAATTAGGAAAAAATCGAAACTGCATTTTATAACAAAAAACTTGTTGCACAATCGTGGCATCAGGCAATACCATCAGTCTCACCTATAATGACAAGAGGAAGTAAGCTGTCAATGCATTCATTTAGTTTTTAAAAATAGTTTCTTACATCCAGTGTATCCCCATCCATAAACACTGCAACTGGTCTTCTCTGGAATGGTACATCCAGAAATGGGCAATCGGATTATTTCTACAAAATTTGTCAATATGGCAGGTCTGAAAAGAGAAAACAAATAATAGATACAGCAAATTTTACTTAACTTCTTAAAATATATCTGAAAAATAACTTCAACAGGAATTAAAACCTCTGCCAATTCTTTTCCATCTTTGATAGATTCTTCTACCTATTTTTTGTGCTACAGCTGTTAACTGTCAAAAGATTTCTTGAAACGCTGTCAGCACTATTGTGCTATTTAACTTGGGTTTTCATCTTAAAAGTAAGTAATGATGGCATTTTGTTTGAATATACAGCTTTGTTAATATGGAGAAAGTTTGAAAGTTCATATATACACAGGGATCTCAGTTACAATCTGGTGCTTATTCTATAAAATAAGACCATATACTAGTGCATGTGGATTGTTATTTAAAAAAAAACAGCAAAATGAAAAACAAACCAAACCAAAAAACCTTCCTAACAAACCTAAACGTGGTTAGAAAAGTTATCTAGAAAAGCATATAGGCACAATTTTTCAGTAGTCACATCTGCTTCCTGATCGAGGTTGATAAATCTGCATTTCTGCATATATCAATTAAAATTTCTTTCCATTAGAAGTTTATTCTATAGAGACATCATAATCATGCGGTATCAAATGCAGTATCAAAGATGGCAGTGAACTGAATTTGAAAGTCTTATTTAGAAAGAATCTCATTCTTTGGTTGAAAGTTCTGGAATTCACAATAATGGCTACTAACCTGCTAAGTTTCAGTAAGACCAAATCTGATCCTGCAGGGCCATATACCAACTGGGAGATATTCAGAACTTGCCTGTGCTTCTCCTCTCCCTTTCCTTTGATATTATGGACTCCAAGCCAGGCTTTGTAATCTTTCAAATCTTTGTACCTAAATGAGGCAAGTTAGTTAGGATTTTGACAAGCATATGATACAATAACTAAAAAACTGTTTAAAATGTTAGATCTTAACTAATACTCTTCACCAGAAATGGGTTTATGCTGCCAACTTCTATTCCAAAATCAACATGCTCTGATGTAAGCTTTTGGTCTGAAGCCGTTACATAATTTTAACTATTACTAAAATCTAATTTTTGTTTTCTAATTGTATCCAAACATTTAGATCTTTGGACAATATAAACCTTTGTTTTTTTTGGGGGATTTGTCCAAGTTTTCTATTTTATTTTGTCCAGCTAAGCAGAAGCATGAGATTATTTTCATAAAGAGGCAACTGTCTAATCATTAGAATTGGAAAATATATTTATACTTCTATGTTGAATAGCCAGAACGCTTTTAGATTAACAACAATAAAAACAGATAATACCAAGGTCCCACAGGCCTTTTATGTCAGAAAAGCAGTGTTAAAGCCAAACAGGAGGGGAAAAAAAAGCTTCATTTAAGTTGAAGAAGTGATGTGCTGATAAGATTCCAAAAATAGACGCATTTCAATATTGCAAAACTACAGACTACTGTACCGAGAAGGGAAACACTGCCTTGCTGTTAGAACCCACTCTTCCTTTATCAAAGTACCTCCACAGATATGCTTATTCCTGGGAGAAAGAAGAAAAAAAAAAAAATAAAAAAAGAGGTAATAGAATGATTTTCTACATATTCCAAACATTTAAATAATACTTTTGTTCCCCATGTATGTATGTATGTATTTCCCCATGCTGGTGAAAGGTAGACGACTGTCAGTCTGCAAAAAACACATCTCTATCTCTCTGCCCTAAGTTTCAACACTTACAGTAACATGAACTTGCAGAGATTTACTCCAATGTGTAAAAACCAAGAGCAAAGAGAAAGTCACTCTGTTCATTTAGCTGTTTCAAAACTGAATTTGTAATGAAACCTAATTAAAAAAAATATAATAATAGTAAAAAAGGCAAGCTAATTCTTTGTAATAGGAACTGGACTGAAACACTCAAGCAAGTCCCCAAACTGCCACCAGATGTAAACAACATTTGATCATTATTCATGTAGGTATTATTCAAAGCTTTGACCTCAAGGTGGAGAGTTCCTATTTGATTACAAGTCCTGTGAGACTTCTGTCCCCACATATTTCAGTTGGAAACAATCTGCAATGTGTGACATCCTACATATGATTATGGAAAACCTACCGCATAATATATCAAGTAAAATTAAAGCAATTAAGCGTGACAGTTCTTTTAAAAATAAAGACGACCGTGGAATGCAGATTAATTAGTTTCCTTCTTTCTGCTTCCAAAATCACATTTATTTTCTGAAGCTCTTTGGCAAGTGAATCAGAATTGTCAGCAATTCAGGAAAAGCTTAAAATCTTGGAATTTATAAATTCAAATCGCACAAATGCTCAAAGCTTTGCGAAGAACTTCTGGAAGGAGTCCAGGCTCTGTATGGATTTCAAAGACAGCAGAATAACACAGATGCTTGCCTACATTAGTTTTTTTTTAATTGTATTTTGGTTGAGGAACAAAATATCTGATCCAAAAGGTTGGATTCTTTCTAAAATATACATTGTGCCCAGTATTATTACAAAAAAATGTCACAATCAGGGAGCATATGTATACTTCCGTGTTATGTTTACACCACTAATTATCAAAATGAATTTATAAGATTGTATCTTCTGCTTTAGAAGATTGACTACTACACATGAGAAGGTTAAACTTACTATTTAAACATGGGACAAATCCAGAACTGATTCAATGAAATAGATTAGATTCATTCAAATACACTTAAATTCACCTTATAAGAGGATCTGGATTGAATATATAAGAAATTTTGACATTGATTGATTAAATATTTAGAAGTGGGCATTGGTTACCAAATATGAATACAAGTACCTATGTTGCACTAAGCCTTAACCATTCAGACATGGCAATTCCATTTTGAGGTGTGCAGTTAGATTTTTGCAAAAGTCCTGAGGAGATTAAGTTTTTGTTTCAGACAACATTCTATTTGCTTCCTTGGTAACAATACAAAAATAAAACTACATTTTTACGCACACATGTAATACTCAAAAATATATTTTGCTGCTGGAGTATTCCAGGAATCCCGTTTTCAGAGAAGAATCTGTAATCATTTAAGCACACATCTACTTCATGGAATTTTGTTGCATAGCACAAAATCCAAGTTCAACTGGCTTAACGTAAATTATTTAATTTCTAGGCACCCAGACGTAATTCACCTCACCTGTCTAAAAGTTCCTCAAACATCAAGGCTGCTTTAAAAGCAAGTGCACAGATAAACTTTTCCAGGAATGATTCAGAACACCTGATTGGTTATTTAGTCTAGGAATAGAGTGATGGTCCCTTAGAAATGTCTTTCTGGATCTTCCACTACCCTTCCAGAAAGGTCTAGATCTGATTTGATCTCATAAGATGCAAAGATCATCAAGAATGGGAAGGACCCCAGAATTTCTCTAGCAATGAAGCAGTGTAGAAAACAAAGAGGTTTATCTTTACTCCATTTTTCCATTTAAGACCTGGTTTCAACACGGTTTTAAAGGAGATGGGCAATCATAAGGTAACAGAATTGAGCCATATCTTAGTTTATATCACCAGACACACACACAAACAACAACAAAAAAAAAACAAACAACATTGCGGTTTGTTTTTTTTTTTGGTTTTGGGTTTTCTTTTTTTTTCATTATAGAAGATACAGGGCAGATACATGAGGTATATTAACACTTCCAGCTGATGAGTTACGAACCAGAGTAATGAACATAGGAAATGGTAATTTATGTTCTGGCTTTTACACAGTAGTAACTTAAGATCTGCCACAATGTAATACACATTTCCAGCTGTACATGTTAGGGTCTTGGTTTAGAGAATGAAAAGGATTTCCTTATAGCTCCTACTTTAAATTGTATGCAATGGTATGAGCAGAAAGCTACATTTGACATGGATATAAATCCTGAATCCAACACTTCTCAACTAAATGCACTGCTGTTGAAGTGAAAATATTTATATGAAACTCAATTTTTTTTTGTAACAGTTTCTAAAATAAACAGTTTAGTACTGGATGCTAAGCCAATGTTATGAAAAGGTTTGCAGCAGCTAATCAAAAAAGCAGAATGCTATGAATGCTTCACAAGCTCATGTGTGTAAGTTAGCGACAATGAACATGTAAATATTTCACTGACAGAGTGAACACTATAAAATCACCTGATGTTGCCGGAATGCTGCTTTTCTGCTTTTACAGAATTTAACAGCAATCCAGAAGCATTCTTATTATGGCCAGTTCTACAGCTCCAAACCCAATATATTAGTACATGTATTATCTTTCTAATCAACGTTATAGTTACCTGTATGTCAAGCTAACCACCCATCCTTCGTTAGTTTGTGTCGGGATTCCATTTACAACTCTCAAATGTTTTGTTGAGGCACAAGGAATGACAGTATCTGAAAGCAGGTCCAGAGATCACATTTTACTAAAAAAAGCGGTAGGAAACCTGTACAGTTGCACATAAGGACCACAAGAAGGTCAATATTTATTACGGATTAACTTCCCTGCGCTATCGAAATATACTTCTAGAGCATCAAACCTATTTCAGTGAAGCTGAGTCAGTCTATATAAATATTAATTGGCAATATAAAATATATATATTTAAATGAGGGGTTTTTTTTTGAGATTTACATAGTTATAAAGAAAACATTGTAAATCATTACCATATCTCACCACTGGCAGGACAGGATAGTGAGTATATGTAAAAGAGTATAATAAAACTGTTCCACATTTTCCTCTTGTAAAAGCTATTTTTCTTAATCTGCATTGGTTTTAATCTTTAACTGATCTTTCTTTTATTTCCCAACAGGAAAGAAATGGCTAGTCTTAGAGGATGCAATACATGCATTGGACAGTACTTCTGCAGATTTACTTACCATCCAAGCTGGTTGTAGTAGGAGTTGTATCCCCTTCACCTGGGCAGACACATAAGATAGCCATAATACAAAATTAAAACATATCTAACAGTTGAACAAAATAAAAATAAACAGCAAATGACATATTCTAAATTTTAATAGTTCACAAAGTTTTAAACTTCAGTGATTCCTTTATTACTCTGCAAAAGCACAGTTTAGTAAAGATTAACAGGAAGGCGGAATTTCATCCCAGTAGAATTAAATAATTAAATATTTTGCAACAGGAGTTTAAAACATTTTCCTTCTTGGCTGAATCCTGAATACATCAGACTATCTATTATGTTCAATTTATATATTTAATTTGTAAAAGCAAGTGCTGAAAAATGAAGTTGTGACTTTCATATAAGCTTTCATAAAGTACTGAAGTCACATAATTAAATATAAATCAGATTTAATGAAAAATCCTGATCTCCTTGAAAACCTTTGAAACTTCAAATTTCCTTTTCCCTTGTTATCAGCAAAAATCTTATCAAAATATGTGTTACCCAGAATCTGGTTTGGCTCTTGCACCTAGTCCAAGTCAAAATACAGTTACAATGACCTTGCTTAGACCTCGTTCAAAGTTCTTGCCTTCAGCAAAGTCTGCAGAGTGACCCAGCATTACAAGCTAGAGTTATAGGTGCAGCTACTAAAAATTTGCCCAGGTAAAATTGAAACAGTCTCATCTGACTAGATTTCCACCATTAAGTAAATCCCTCTCTCCCTCTCTAAAGGTATACATTTATATACATAGCTAAATTTCCATGCGTATGTATACATATATGCATATGTGTATGTGTATGCATATGTATATATGTATCTATACATATGTGCATATACATATATAAAGAGTGAGGGCTGTTTGAGACCAGATAAAGGCATCAAGTGAGTACATTTGGGAACTGCTAGCATTTTTCTGTACTGGTTAAGATGGTTATCAGTACCTGAGTGAGCTACTAGTAGTTTAATACTAGTCCATATGAGTTACAATTGTAAAACAGACATATTCCATTTCTGGAGGTTGATTCCAGAAACCATAATACCATTGCCATATAACCTATAAATGTTTGCTGTGAATATTTCCTTAGGAATTCATAGATACAGGTAACCAACTTATATATTCACTATTTATAATGAATAAAATTTATATTCCTTCAGCTGTTGTTCTTTATCTACATTGACACAAATAACCTTTTGTAGTTTGTTTACTATTTACATAGATGCCAAAATATCACCTGAGACTTGAAGTATCACCTCTTAGAGATGCTGCAGTTCAGATTATGAGGGAACACAGCAGGTTGCTGCTAGGAATGAATGTAACATTATCTTTAACCTCTACAGATCACAGACATGCATTCAAAGGCATGATTTACCTTTTAATTGTTCTCTCAGGATATACAGCACAGTGATTTAGAAATAAGAATTGGAAAAAAAAAAAAGAACATAAATGGGAATTGCACATTTTTCAGCATAAACCTATCCTTTTCCACTGAACATCAGTCTATTACTGAATTCCCTAGGGTCTTTAATTCTGTTTATTTAAGCTATTTAGATTTTAACATGCAACTTTGGAGGTGTGATGCTCCTAGTTCTTTCCAGGAATTAAATCATCCCATAAACATCCAAAAGCAGAATCTAATCTATATAGCACATATACACTTCAGCATATATGTAGTGAGTTATCCTAACTTGACAAACAAATACAGATCACACAAAGAGTCTGTGAAGCTTGTAGCACAGAAGATAACTGTCTCCGGGTTTCTTGAGGCCATAGCCAGCTTTCTGACCACTAGACAATTCTTTGTCTCCATCCAGCACTTATTCAATAGCTAGATCTGTTGGAAAATGTTTAACCATCTGTAATAGCCCTTTTATGCTCCTGCTGCATAAATAAGCCTTGAAATCTCCAAGCTGGTCAAGGAAAATGACCCCTTGTTCATATATTACACAAGCAGCTTCTGTCCGTTCCTTCTCAGTCATGCACAATCGATTCTTGATAGAATCACATATTATCTGCTGTCACAAGTGACAGTACAAAGGTATGCCTACGCATGTGACACAATGGCTTCACTGGGACTGCACAGTTGACAACGCCTGAGGCATACCAAGTACTCACATCGAGAAATAGGGCAGTAATCCCAGGGAACGAGAGGATCATCTGTGTAACACCAGGGACCATGAAAATCATCATCTGGATTGCGGCAATAGTTTTTCTTCAGTTTACTAACATCTGGTTCTCTGAATATTTGTATATGCCTACAGGGAAAAAAAAATTGAAGTGCTGAAAAGCTTTATACTATAGCCCAAATTTTCAAAGGTTAAATGTTGCCTTGCTCCACATTGTAATATTAGCTGATTGAGAAGCCTACAGGTCAGGGTTTAGGGCTGGTTAAAATCAAAGGGAAGATGAGACCCAAATATTTGCTGGATCTGGGTCCAAGTTTCCTCTGGTTGATATTTTAAGCTCTGTGTCCACTGGACAGCTGGGAGGTTTATTGGTCTGCCACCCTCAGCAGGGATCATTACACTGATTAGAAGAGAGTATGTGTTGCCCTCAGCAAATCTACAGGCCTCTCTGGCAGCACAGGTACCTTCTTCCTCCAGATTTACAGCTAGTACCAGGGATCACTGAATCTGCAAAGAGAAATCTTAGGCAAAGACAAACACAAGAAAGTTAGGCAGACTGAGCAGCAGGCAAGGAGAAGGATGAATGGCTCAGACAAACTGCAGCAATAGGTCTAAATTGCAAACCTACATGGGGCACTTCTAAAAGTGAAAATTTGGGGTAAAAATCTGAAGCAAAGAAATCTGTTTATTTCTGGCTTATCAGATAGACACAAGATTCCTAAGTCACAGCTGCACTCCCTTTTTCAGTTCATAACCATCCAAGCATGCTGCCTCTAGCACACACATAAGCAGAGTAACTGCTGCAGTGAGACAGGTAGCTCCCGAAAGATGTTCCCAGACGGAAAATTTGTGGGAGTAAGAGAAAAAAGGCTCATCTGTGCTCAAGACTGTATGAATGCAATTGCATCAAGCATCCAGTCTCATTCACAGCTAACTGAAGACCTATTAGAGCTCTCAGAATGCATGATCATAAACCTCTTCCTTCCTTACATGGACAGCATGCTGGAATATGTATTCTGCCAAATTCCAGAGGGCAATATGTTGGGTACTATGACTGTGGTGATCGTGAGCACTAACTCAACAAGTACCAAAGGTAATACTGAAATAATCACATCTACCTCAGAAACTAAAGGAAAATGAAGGAAAAACTGTTTCCAAGACACTAATGTGTGTAATATCTCATACATAGAAAATTTTTGATGAATCTCTTTGTGCAGTATGTGGAAGTCCTTGTTCTTGTCATTTACTGATCTACTATTCTGAACCAGCAAAGACAGCACGTGATCAAAATAGTCTTGAAAACTCACAACTTCTTTTGTACTTACTGCTGATTCACTTTTTACATTAACAAATAAAGCAATTTGCCATTTCCACTACTTGAATATGATAAACAACAGAAACTACAAGTTCCTTTCATGTCATTTGATGTCAGTATCATTAGGTCATAGTCTCAAGATTCAGTTTCATGCTGCAAGGGAGCTTAGGTAGTTTAAAGGCTCCTGCTTCAAGCAGCATGAGCTATGAGATCAGATTGATGAGATAACTGTTTCCTACTTCATTCCTGCTATTCTCTCATAGAACAAAACTTTCAAGGACAAAGTAAGGCCTGGTAAACCAGGCCAGTAAACTAAACACTAAGAAACATCCCAAAGCCTGCAATTAGTGGTTAGCCTGAAAAAAGACATGTTGTGTAATACATTTAAAGGGAAAAAGAAAGAAAAAAAGAAAAAAAGATACTGAAAGCTCCAGGGCATAAGGGGCTATTTTAGAATCACTGCAGAAGAAAAAGAGATGCCATCTGGAGGCAGTATTTATTCAGGACTCACTGAACCATCTCTTTTTGTTTTATATATACACACCTACGTAAGTCTTCAATATTCTTGTCCCATGTGGAGCAAGTTAGCCCAAATCTTGTCTTGGATAGGTTCCCCATGTAACTCTTTCCATTGCCACGATAACAATCTGAACAAAGGATGTTGAGACAAAAAGAAGTGGAAGGTGATTGTGCAGCTTTGAAAACTCCTCATTTCCATCAGTAATCCAAATAATTAAAGACAAGTGTTATATTTAGCAAACACTATACAGTATAAATCAGCCAACTGTATAAATCAAATCAGAAAGAAAATGGGAGAAAGTTTTCACAGTTAGATACATAATGTCCTGCTTGAGGCCCTCATTCCCAAAACGGTAGCATTTTAAACTTTATCTTATTTAGATAAACTGGAAAAATTTCCTTCATAAATAGTTTATGGTTAATTTAAAATGGTCACACAGAATATTCTGAAAATTGTCAGGAGCTGCTGTATACAAAACAAAGCAAAAACGCACCGCTATTCCTTCATCCTAAAAAACCAGGCCCTCAGCCTATTTGAAAAACCTTGCCTTTATGTAGATTCTGGATACTGGCAAGAGTATATAATCCTAGACTTAAATTCTACTTTGGCAAAACAAAAAAAAATCAACATGACTTTAATTTTAATGTAATTCAGAAACTTGCCTGTTTGCTCCAGCAGAAGTCATGTTTAATTCATAAGCTTTCATCATAAGCCTTTCTGAGACTTTTCAAATGGATTGTTTAAAATGATCACTACTATAAAGACTTTTTGCATGAAGTATTTCAATTCATATTCATCAGTATTCTTACTTTTGGATAATTGATACTTTACAGAAAATACAAAATGAAAGACGAAGTTTAGTCCTTTCTCTGACTAACTTTTGCAACTGCAACTTTTCAAATTTTAAGGGGAAAAAAGGCTAGAATTTAAAGATGGAGATCTTAATGCAACCTAATATAGGGTCACAGGTCTGATGTCCTAACCTCAGTTTATGCTGTGATTGACATCAGTTCTCAGGATGCAATAGTACTCCTTAGAGTATTACAAAGACCTCATGGGAAAAACATTTGCCTGAAGACTTGGAGTGGACTTTACAGGCAGAGATAACAGCTTGAATCTAAGAGGTTACATGTGAAGTCCCATGTGGCTTTCTTTCAGCTCAACATCTTATAGAAAAGGGAGTACATGGAAAAAAATACATTTAAAAAATTGTTTTTGGTGGTCTCATATGCAGTTATAAATAGACTGTAAACTAAGGAAATTGTCTTAGCTCTGGGAAAAGGGCTTTCAAGCTAAGAAAGGTCAAAGAGTAGAACAGATTTCCAGTTAATATAAAATGTATCTCCAGTTAATATAAAATGGCACACTGATTTATCTTGTCTAAAAATCAGATCCAATAACAAATCTTTGCTGTAGCTTTCCCTGTTGGCATCAAAACATGAACTGAGAAGTGAATCTCATTTACACCATGATGAATCCCAAATATGCAAATAAAGCTGAAGCAGAACTACACAGGTGTAATACAGATGTACTGAGACCAACTTCTCTATTTTTCAAGCCTGCCTATCTGCCATTTGGAACAGTACAGCATTCACTTAAAATCATGTTATTGACTTTTCCTCTGTTACCTTGCTCATTTGATACATCGCACTTAGGAATCTGGGAGCAATAACCAATACGGATGTTTGGGTCAGTGGTAAAACACCAGGGTGATTCAGATCCATCTGGATTTCTGCAGTAGTTCTCCCTCAAATCCCTATAAAAATAAATATGTTAGCTCACAACAGGGATAACCTAAATCCACTGATGCATTCTATTGCTTTGTATCATGAATTAGCAACTATATAGGCTCCTTAAGATCTGATATTACCGATCAGTGTCCAGTGCAAGCGGATGAGGAACCAGTAAGAACACAGTGTCAAAAAAGAGTGGTAAATGTAATAATATGGTTATGGGAATTAGTTTTCAGAGGAACTATGTTTTGACTGGATAGAAGATTTCATTTGAAGATTAAAAATATTTTCAATACAGCTATTTTTATTCAGGATTCTCTGTCAAAATTTGCATGCAAGCTGACACTGGATACACCTGCAATCCATTACAAGTGCTTTTAAATACAAACATTACCAAAGTGCTTAAAATTCCCTGTGCTTTGAATGGCTCTGCTGAGTTTAGAGAAATGGAGTCCTGTAGACTGTCAGCAATTCATTTAAGAGACTGAATCTTGGAACATAAAAAAAAAAGATGTCTGTAGAAATACTACACAGCTGTTACCTTTAAAGTAAAAGTCAGTCACAAGGGAACATCTTTAAATGTCTCTTGCAGCTCACATGAAATAGTCAAACCTCTTAACTGTAAGTTTTATTTTCCCATCCCCTGACAGTTGTTGCCAGGTTCTGTGCATCTCCATATTTCATTCCGTTTTTCCATGTGCAGCACTTACTGATAACAGACTATGGAAAAAAATTGAGCCTAATACCATAATTCTTACTCATGTGAGTTTTCAACAGTCATACCAGTGGTTCTGTTAATTTTACTTATGTAGCATCGGCTGAATAAACAGTACTAATATTAACCTCTCTACACTGCTAGGAGCATTGTAAGATTTTGGGGCCTAATCCTTCAGCATTACCCAGGTACAGCACAATTTTAAGCGGTGTTTTGTCTGCGAAAAACCTGTGGGATTAGGCTTAACCACTAACTTCCCAGTAAATTCCAGGTGGTTCTGAGACTGACAGAGGAAGCCCAGGATCAGTCCTATTTTCCATTATAATGATGATTGTTACATTTTCAGTACATGTGTAAAATGCACAGTATTTGATTGATAAACTGAACAATAACAGTGAAAGAATTAAGACAACAAACCTGTTTTGCTCAAACAAGCTATTATTAGGGTGATAATTTGAACTCAGACTGGAATATTTTCTTTACTTTGAAAGTTTGGCACCATTAAACTCCAGCACAAGCCCAAACCGATATTTAGCCATTGATAAAGGACATTTAGCACAAACCAGGCATTGTGTCCATGCTGGTCAGCTAGGTTTCCTCTATGCTCAATGAAAAAAAGGACTGAAAGAGCATGACTAAAGTAACTACATAAAAGAAACAGATTATTCACTTCCTGGGAGTGTAGGAAAGGTACTGTACAGAAAGGTTAGATTAGTGGTCCTGTGGGTAAAAGCAGTTGTATTCATGTAAGTACTTTTAGTAATGAGACAGAAAAAGAATTGAAAAGACAGATAATGTCAAGTGTTGCCAAGGAGATTACACTTAGATAACATTTAGGACATATTAAGTTAAAGTGAGTAATGAAAACTGAGAACAAGTACTTACCTCCATGAAAGAAAAACAATATTGCGTACCAGCACTACTGGGATTCAGGTCCCAGTTTGGAAAACATCCATACACTTCATAATCAATTAAAATATAGTGAAAATATGCTTGAAAAGAAAGTCCATAAAAAAACCTTCTACAGTTTCACACAAGTTCATCTAGAACTAATATTTTGAGATCTGAAGAACTGATTTTCCCATGTTCAAATGGTTTTCAGCATCAGCAAGCAGAGGGAAAGCATCAGGTTACAGAGAAAGTACAGGGATCCTATAGTCTACTTTGGCAACATGAATTTCTAAACCTTTGAAAACTCTTTTTTTTAAGCTCTTTTACCATTGCAGCAATACCCACATGCATCTACTCACTTGCACTTGAAGTTCTCAGGAGTAATGTTGTGCTGATGAGGAAACTGGGAGTCCCACCGCTGGCACTGGATCCCACTCCATATGGTGTTCACTGTGCCACGGTAACCCTCACCTTGTCCCTGTATGCATGTTGACGTCTCAGATGCTACCTCTGTGCTGTTCATGACTCTTTCATCTGCAGACCCAAAGAAGAAAGGCTGTTTGATATGCTTAAGACTGAGCCTGGCTTAGGATGCCATGTTTGAACTCTACATTGCAGTTAAAATCGTGGTATCTGGAGCAATTTGGTGAAATTGCCAATATCTCACATCTTTTACAAAATAACCTTTTCCTCTTCACACTTACAACACCCATGAAATCAAAATAGGTGTTAGACCTTATGCTGGTTTATCCACATGCAGGCAAAGAATTGGCAACATTTAAGAGCTTTTGGTTAGTACACCTTGTTAAACACATTAATACATGTTTGCAGGATTAAAACCCAATTGGTTTTCTCCAAAGAACTCCCAGAATAACAAGTCACAGGAAAAAAGATGCACATAAAAAAAACCAAAAAAACAAAAAAAAAACCTAAATCCTATTATAAAGGATAAATCCTATTATGGAAGTGCTGAATCCTCCTTGAACTTTCTCTTTTTATGCTTCAGAGGGAAAAAAATCTCAGTTTTTGGAAATCAAAGATCAGTATTCTCTACAGACAGACAAATGTTTTAGACTAACAAATTCATCGGACTCAAGATCTTTTACAGATGTTGATATGCTCTGCATTCATCCTGGTGTGGGCTGTCTTGAACCAAATTCAGAAAAATAGTGGTTTTTGAAATGACTCATTCACATAACTTGAAAGTCTCTTTTTATTTCTTATGCAATTTTTGTAACTGCAAATTAATAGCACAGATATTGCACCAGATATAGACAAAGTAGTACAAAACTAAATACACTACAACAGCAACATTTCTACGGTGTCCCAAAAAAGCTCCCAACACAATATTTTTGCAAGTAAAACCCCATGTGTTGGTAACTGTTATTGTTCACAAGACTAATTTTATCAATTACCTTAAAAGTATTAGTTGACAGCAATAAGTATGTTAATAAAGTCCTAAATTAGTTTTGTTTGAATGCTCCAGTGGTTAGAACAATATTTGTGTATTACTCATAACGTAGTTCATTCCTGGTTAACTTGAGCCAGTGCTATGAACTTGCAGAGAATATGGATCTTAAGGAAAGCAAATGTCATAACAGATGGGTTTGGCTGATTTGCTGTCTAATCCTCCACGTTAAAGATCACTTCCCTGTCAGATGATAACATCAAGTTGTGCAGTTGAATTATACATTTCTCCAAGCTGGAGAAAATTTCTCTTCATCTGGTTGATGTTTTTACATCACTGTTTCACGGTCAAATTAATTTCCTGTCCTTCTTTTGCAAGGCATTTTGTCTGTAAAGGTTGTCCTGTTTCAGCAGGATTGTGAGTTCCAGGCTCATTGCAAAGCCAAAAGGATATGACACTGCAAGTATCACAAGTAGGCTTCCAGAGGCCAGCAAATGCACCCTTTCTAGTGGATTTATCAAAACAGCTTGCAGATAGTAACTGTATTTCTAATCGTTATTACTCATTTTTAAAATAATTGAACAACAAACAGACAAATTCATGCATCTAAAATAAATATATGGCTGTATATTTAAGTTTTCCATCATAACTATTATATGAAAACAAATTGGAATCATATTCTAAAATAGCTCCTAAGCTGATTAGACTAAACGTTGCTGTGCCACATTCAAATACATATTAGTCTTTTCAAAAAATATTTGTGATGCTTTAATTAAAAAGGAAAGAGATGTGGGGTATAATTTGGAAAAAAATAGTTATCTACCATGATAAATTTCAGTACACATATTGCATCCTGGCTGCATAATATTTCTCAAGTAAATTAATAAGTTACAATTATATAATTCTAGCAAAAAGTTTCCTTTATTAATTGTAATAATGCATAAAATTAATACATGATATTAGAAAGACCTTATTTATCCAGAGTAAGTTACTATTTCAACTTTAATGAACTGTACATCTACTCTGTACTCAGTCATACTAGAGAAAGTCATTAGGTTGGCATTTATGTATCATTGTGTGGTTTTGGTTTGTTTTTTTTTAAATCACTTGCCTGAAATTAATAACTAAAGCATCAAATGACTTAAGCAAGGCCATAGAGTCATTCTGTAGAGCATTCCTTCTTATACATTTACAGATACACAACTTAGCGGTCTGCTTGCACAGTGATTTCTATCTATAGATTATTTTATTACAAAAATTTGTCTGTGTCAAAATACCCTATTTAAAGGAAGTAGGCAAACTTAATATTCACATAGCAAGGCCACTACTGTAAAGACTTATGTTATAATGGCTGAGAGAGACTGCTTCAAAATCTTCAACATGTGATGGATTATCTGCTACTACTACTTTGTGGCAGCTCTCAATAAGAATTCTAGTGATGAAAAACATCACTAGAATGGTTTTATTGAATTAATAAAGCAATTTATCCTTCCAAATAATCACAGAATCCCCTCCAAACTCTTCTTGCTATACCACCTGCATTTCCTGCAAATGTCTAATTTTCAAACATGAAAAATGAGACACCAAAATAGTTCTGAAATTTAATTCTGAAATCCTGGGGCTTGTGCCTTCAGAAACAACCTGTCCAATTCTGGCACTTGAATCTCATGGAAAAAGCTCAAGATTTATCAAAAAAGGCCCAAGAAATTATTCAGCGAGTGGTTTCTTGAAATAGGCATGATGGGAACAATCTCCCTGTTCATGTGGGCTGGATGCACACAGGGACATTCAAAAGCTTGGAGAGGTGCTCTGCAGACTATAAGGCAGTTGACAAACTTAAGAAGTGCCCAGGTTGTCCAAGCCTACAGCTTTCATCTCCATTCAGTACTGGTCTTGTTCTTGAAGCTAATTACTCTTGTCACCCACATAGGTGATTATCTAATATTTATTAACTTTGGGCATGAACATCAGATGTGCAGAGTCCTGAGATGGAAGAGTCTTGAGACCACACTCAGCAGTTCTTTTACAAGGAACTGGAAACAAGATCAAGCTAACAGTCAGTAAGGCTGGATTCCCATCGTTACCTTAGCAATTCCTTTAAAATATAAATTAAGACTTACAACTCCAAGGGCTTGTTCCAATGAGAAAGACATTATGAATTAACTTTTAAGATGAAAATTCAATAAATAATCCTTACAATGCAGGCAGTTCAGCTTTTACAGTCCTGAACTGAGATAAAAAGTACCATTAAAGGAAGGTCACACAAAATGTCATCTTACAAAATACTAATATTTATAATTTGTTAAATGTCACTTCTTATTCCTGTATGGAACTTGATTATAAACAGAGGAATTTGATAATTGTCTAGCAACACTTTGCTGCTTTTGAACTTTGTTGTAATTTGTTTTGTGTTCTGGATGACTCAAATTAACCATGTAATTCAGACAGCTACTTGAGGATTTCCTGTTGGTAATATTTCTACCTTCACATGTTCACTCTGAAATCCCCAACCAAATCACAATAATGCAAAGGCTTTCTTTTTTTCCACAAAACCCTCCCTATATTTCAAAATACATAATTTTATTTATAAAGAGCCAGCTCATGCATTCATAAATGCTTAAGTAAAGAGATGAAACATTATCCAGAGCTTCATGTGTAAAGCCACAGACAGTCTTCTCAGTTCTGGTTCTCACAGTAATGTCAGCATGAGGGAATCAGCAGGGGCCTTGAGTCATTCTACAGCTGAAGTAACCAGTTAGAGTACTATTTCTGTCTTTAATACCAATGTCCCAGAAGAAAATCCTGCACAAATTTTAGGTCAGTGGTGAAAATCCTACTCACTTAAAGGAAGGTATGGGATTTGCTGGAGTATTCATATTCTTTCATAGTAATGCTATCAATGCATTTTTGGGAAAAGACATAGTTGGAAAAGAAGTAGAGTCCTAAATTACTTCATCAGGAAAACTCCTACTTTCTCTCATAGTGTTGTAATTTCTTTCCTAATGTGCCAGTCAACAAAAAGAAAACGTGCCCTGATTTGCAATAAAAGATTTTGAAAAGTAGATTTTAAAAGATGTGCCTAACCTAGTAAAGAAAGTGTAAACACCACAAAGTCCTTATTAAACATGACCCATGCATTTCTGTAAACGTCAGTAAAAAACATGAGTGACATGAAAAGAAGCTGCTCATGCTTCCAGGCATCTCTACCTCAAACAATACCATCCAGTGTTCTAGGCAGTATGATAGTGGCAGCTCTTTTCTTTCCATGCATTTCCTCCAATGGATTATCTCACAGTACATGAAACATGAAAAAAACTTCCATCATTGATTTATAGGGGTTTTGTTGGTTTGGTTTTTTTTTCAGTAAAAACATATAAGAAAGCAAAGAAGTTAGTGAAACCAAAGCTCAAGAATCATGGTACTGAAGAACTAATTCTCAGCTCAGACTGGCACACCTACAATTCATTTGTCCTTGAACAGAGAGAGATTTTTGCAGGTTATTCCAATGCCTACAATTAGGCTTTAAATCCAAACAATTTTTAGTTTGAATCCATTAAAAAAAAAAAAACAAAACCAACCAAACAAACAAAATCTTTAAATAATCTCAGTATCTGCAAGTTCAGAGCTCTTAAATCTCACTTTCAAAGCTATCATAGAAATGATGAAAAAGATTTGAGTGGAATCCTTTTTAAGGAAATGTAGATTAAATCATTGCTCACAATGAATGCTGGACCTTTGTTATGCCTCCCTGTGGAACGAGGTGGAAGGCAACACTTTATCAGCCACTAAACATCACTCTCTTTCCACTGCCACTTTTCTTTAAACAAATATTGAGCTTAAACTGAGTGTCACCTTTATTTGTTTACATGCTATGATTCAACAAATAACTTTAATCAGAGCTTCACATTCAAATGGACAGCTGAAATCTCTGCTTCTAAAGAATGGCTAAACTAATATCAGTGATTTTTTGCCTTCAGGTTCATTTTACATCTAGATTCTCAATTTTGCCATTTCATTACTTGCTTTTCCCCATCAAACCCACACCTTTATTGAATTCTCTGAGGGCTTTTCGGGTTCCAGTCACTCTTACCTATTGCCTATGAGTACTAATAACAGAAGTTAAATCCATGGTAAAATCAGCTGGGTAGGTTGGAAATCAAGTAGGCAGCAAACAAACACTGTCTTTCCCATATTAATACCATATATCTCAGCTCTCAAACGACTTTATTTCTGGGCCTTAGCACTTCTCATATCTCTACAGATCATCTGCAGAAGTGCAGCTATCCTTTTTCCTGTTTTGTTTTTTTTTTAACTCTCCATTCCTGTCTCTCCTCAGTAGTCCATGTCCTCATTCATACCAAACTAACAGTCTTTTTTCATGTTTGTGTCACTGCTTCCATTTCTTCATTTCATCCTACACTTTCTTATTGCTGTTATAGTTGTCCTTTTATCCTCTTTTCTAACTAAAAAATGTCTCAAGCCAAAAACCACAGACACATATGTGAGCAACTTCAAACCAATTCTGGGGTCCCTGAAGTCTTAATCCAGATCCAATTTTTGCAGCTTGAGCCATCTCTAATCCCTAATTGCTCCTGTCATCTCTTTCTCAGAGCCCTGGCTGTAAGCCACAATGTTTTATGCTGCTTTCTGTGCTTGGAAATAAAGTTACAATGCCCTCCTGTCTCTTCAGTCTTAAAAACATATTTATTTTCTGAATGCTTCCTTCCACTGACTCTTTTGCTGAAAATTTTGTATATGAGCTGTTGTCAGCATTTTGGCTATAGAGCATGCTAGCACTCATGACATTTAGCAAAAGCCACAAGCAGCATGCTGCCTTGTGGTCACTCCCCAAAGAGAGGACACCTACATTTCTGTATATAGTCCAAGGACTTGGATTTGAAAAGCATTTTTACTAATTAGTATTTCTTGTAAAATGTATAAACAGTCCTCATCATAGGAATTAAAAACCTGTGTGAGAATCCAAACCACAAAGCCATAAAGACATATAACTCATGATCTCTTTTTAGTTACTGAGATTGAACACAGCCACAGCTTCAGAAAATGAAGCTACCACTGAAACCCAGAAATGCCTAGTGTTTTAGGCTCCCTGCTATGAGGTGGGAAATAGTTTTTCTATGTGCCTCCAGAAAGACAGAAAACTGAAAACAGGGCTTAGATATTTTGTGTTGGTATGCTAGTCACTGGGCTGGTGAAACAACAGTATCATAAGCAATAAATTCCCTCTCTGAGTGATAAAGGAAAGCACTGAGCAGCATTGCACCTTATGTAGAGGGCAATGCCATATGCTCGTGCCAAACAACCTTTGAAAATATCTGCTGGATTAAGCACCTTCAAAATCACTTTCTTGTATACTTCCTCATATATATTGTTTTAAGAATTTTGAAAGATCTATAGTTTTCTGCAGTGAAAATATAGTTTTGCATATGAAATTTCCACACATATTATACTTTCTAACTGCAGGTGAAATAATTCATAGTTAATTCAGTCAACTTATGCCTAGAAATGAGATAAAAGGCTTTCATTACAACATTAAAATCATTACATCCTTTTGGGGTTTTAAATTTCATTTTGATGATTACCTTTCATTGAGGACTCTAATTGTCATTTGAGCAGACAAAGGTAACATTAGAGTAGTTTGCAGTTCTCCCACCCAGCTGTTTTATAAAGCTTAGGCCAGACAGTAAATACTGAAAGTTGCATGGGCTGTAAGCTTACGTGACCAACAAAGCCAGATGTGAATCCTCAGAACACTGACACATCAGCTCAGGAAATGCCAGAGGATAAAGGTTTATAAAAGTTGCATTTGTGAAACAGTCAGCTGCAACTGGCAAATTTTGTTGGGGGTTTTTTTGGTAATAAAAACACTTCTACCAAGGGAAAATAATGGAACTAGTACTCTACATATGATTAACTTATTATCTAATAAATAAAGAATGTTAGAAGCACAGTAAAAAAAACACAAAATAAAACCCCAACAAACAACAAGCTCTAACAATTAATTACCTAAAAACTTAGAAAGATGGTTCAGTTACACAGCTAAGCAAGACTGCACAAAATGGGGAAAGACTGAACTTTCCACATTACCAAAGATTACCAAGAACTCAATTACATGAGTTAGGACTGCAGTTCACAGGCAAGACTTTCAGCACGGTGTAACTTACTGGGTGTCTGACACAAAACAAGCAGTAGTTCTGTTAAGTTTCTTCTGTCTCTTGAAAACCTGATTACAGACATTGCCTAAAATAGCAAATTAACCTCACTTACTTATAGTGGAATAATTTTGGTACTTTTAACTACTTTATACTGTATTTACAATGGCATATGATAGGACAAAGTAAATTCAATTACTCCACATCAAGAAGTACATTAAGAGTATTCTTATTCAATCTTCAGATTTCAAACAATTGGCTAATCGACAAAAAGTGACTGACACTTCAAGACATTACACTGGCCTAAGCCAAAACAAGCAAGGACAGAAAATGCTGAACTATTGGTAGTGGAAGCAGAAAACATTGGGCAAAATTTGGTTTGGCAAGAACTCCAAGTGAAGACAGAGCATCCCATGCTTCCCTCTTCAGGTAGCAACTACACACATGCAAAGGTTCAAGCCAGAGCCATTCCCTTTTACTTATCCACTTTGCCCTGTATTTATATATTTGTTAATTTTATGGGAAAAATACAGGATTATATTATGGAAACAGACTTTTTTTAAGATTCACTACTGTCTCTATTTTATCTGGATCTTAGATAGCCCAGGAATGGTTTGTCTTGGTTTATATAACAATAACAGAACACAGAGAACCCTGCAAATTAAGCTGTCATAAAATAATCACTCCTTTTATGCTTATTATAATTTTTTCTTTTTTTTTTCTTTTTTTTTTTTTTAATTCTTACATTAGTCTAGTTCCAGGTGAGCTTTCTTGTTCATTTTAATAGACTCTGTTCTGTTCTTCTATTCTCCTTCCAAGAGACCCAAATAAATTTTACAGTGACATAAGCCTACTGAAGTGACACTAGGCCTAGATGAAAAACAGTGTCTGGTTTTGAGGATTAATTTTTTTTTTCACACTTAATTTTGGTCAGAATTGAAGCAGGACAACAAAGGAAATCATAGTTTCCAAAACTGCAGATCTAACAAAAACTGACTTTCTCATGAGATAACATGACACTGAGTTTCACTCAGCAGTTTTAGAAGCAGCTTTTGCCTGCATTTCACAGAAAATCAAAAAAACACTGTTTTCCCTTTTCTGCCCATTTTCCTTGGGTATCTGCCACAAGACTGGGGCCCATGAAGCTGACAGGCTTCTACAGTATGGATTCAGTTAAAGTCATGCCTTGTTTTCAGAAATTGCCTTTATCCCAGAGATGTTATAAACAAAATGTTTTGAGTAAAGAGAATAAAAAACCAAAACCTGCCTAAGTAATACAAGTCTGCCTTTAATATCTTGTACATTGATTATTTCACATTTCAGATTACTAAGAGAAGAAAAAAACTGGACCCCAAATCTGTCAATGAGAAGCATGTGAGATAAAAGGAGAGATTATCACCTGTAGACCCCATGAGTTGTGAATGAGGAAAGCAATTTCAGGGATGCAAATCTTAGTTTTCTGGCTAAAGCATGCCCCAGCAAAACTTAATTCTACCACCTGCCTCAGACCCAAGGTTACCACAGAAGTCTAGAAAAATTACCTAATCCAAGTTTTCATGTGAGTTCCAAGAGTTTTACCATTTTCATTGTCCCTATAGTGCTCATTTAAGACATCTAATTATCAGTAGAACAGAGCTGTCAGAGCTAGCACCAAAGTTAGGAGGATCTGGTCTTTGAAGATAGAACATGTTGCAGAATGCTTTATAAATTCTGAACTAAAGCATCTCTAAGTGGGCATCCAATATTTATATACCTTAATGTTGCTTGGATTCAATTCCCTGTCTGTAAAGTGAGGCTAAAAAAAGCTACCATCTTGTTATTGATGGATGAAAAGAAATTAATTGACTGTAGAGTGTTTTGATACTGTAGCGCTGAATATCACAGAGAAACCCATAAGGAAACTAATAATTCTGCCTTCAGTACCAGGCTGCATAGCAGGCAGGAGTTGAGGGCTAGAAGCACACAATGTGCAAAAGGAAACCAAAGCAACGGACAGTTGTTAGATAGAACACTGAGTAGGGAAGTTGTGCATGTACCTGTTCCCAGACTCATGGGATAATGCTTAGCATGGCCAAACTAATACTGTACATGAGATCTTCATGATGACATTGTCTCACTGGTTTAGTTCTTGAGATTTCTATATTTTAATGTAAATTTCTGTATGTGACATACACACATTTTCCAATGCTAAGACACAACTCTTATTTCCTGTCAAGATTAAATATAATGTTGTTATAAACAATCCTCTTTGAAAACAATGTTTTAAAAGTCAATGAAGGGCAATAAATGAACTAGCTGTGGCTCTATATTGCTTGAAGTATCTGTATTCAGATTTTGGAAAGGAAAAGGAAGTAATAAATTTTGCTTGAACTCACCACATGTTTTAATTGCACAGAACTCCCAGGGGGTGTTAGGGTCAAGAGTGTAACACCATGGTCTCAGCTTGCCATCAGGATTGCGGCAGTAATTATCATCAAAGCCCTTGTCAGGGTATCTGCAAACCACAACAAGAAATGTGTCAGAGAAGTCTTCCTGGCAACGTTGCATTGGCTTGTACAAGGTACTTAAAGGACAGTCTTCAGGAGAGGCAAACAAGAACCAGTTCCTGTTAACCTGGAGTCTGATCCTGATGTGGACGCAAATACTCCTTTAACACCATTAGAAAGTTAATAATGTAAAGTCTCTTTCCAAATATGCAGCAGAATCAGACCTCCACTGAGGGGATTCCCTACTGTGCTAATGCACAGGGTACCGGATGGAGTAACTACTAATTGCTAAACTCTTACTCTTGTGTCTATCAACTGATGACCAGACTCTAAAGCCACTTGTTTTATTTGAAACAACCCAATTAAGTGTGGATTGTATAAACACTGCCTAGCATGCTGGACTCATTAAGGAAACAGGTTTTTCAGTGCAACAGCCCTGAGTTCAAACTGGAAGCTATTTTGAATAGCTATGTTATTAATGATAGCCCCATTTCTGTAATAGAGCTCATTCTAGGCCATGCCCTCATTTCGAGCACTGGGTAAAAAAAGGTGAAAAATAAGGAATTATTTTCTGTCACCCTTATATCATTAAGATTTGAAACTATTGTGCCATTTAATTGTTTCCACTTTCCTACCACCATCATTGAACGATCAGGCAGATATTCAAGATAAAACTTGAAGAGAAGGAGATAAATGCATACTCTTTTCCTCCAGTGGTGACAAATTGTCTTGGTATTCCAGTTTTACTGAAACATGTTTGTAAAAGAAATAAAAAAGTAGATTTGCCCCTGAGGGAAAGATGAAAAGTGTGTAAGAGAACAATAAAATTAACTACCTGGGAACCTGAACCCAGTTACAACTGCAAGCAGATGTTTTTCGCACAAGCAGAGGAAAATATGATTTACAAGTGTGTGCTTTTGCTAGGATGCTTTTTCTGTCAAACAATCATGCTAATTTTGACTCATTGCAACTTGATCTCCCATTCCTTGGGAAAAGTCAGGTTCCTTCATCTATATAAAGGACAGGGACGGGATTCAAGTAGAATAAAAAACAAATAGACAATAACAACCAAACAGCAAAACCACCAAGGAGAAACCTCATAAACCTGAAAATTCAAGGGCAGTCAAGAATGTGGTAGTTTCAGATCTAGCATCAGTACCCTGTTTTCTGCTAGGTGGAAGACTAACTGTAAAGGACCAAATTGTGTCCAAGGATTTCACAAGAAAACAGTTAATGGGCTATTAGCACAGCATAAAGAGAGATTATTTTTTTTTTTTTTATTTTCTTTTGTACCCAGTAGCTGCAGTGATGAGCTTTGATGTTAGCAGCACATGTCACTTAGCAATGGAGAGTCCATGGCACTACCCAAGAAATGAGGTGAATCCAGGAATGGCAAGGTATCTGCAGTCATAGCTCCCAAACCTATTCAGAACAACTGGGAGTGTAAAGAATCCACTTTCTAGAAAGCAAGTGCCCTTCCATAGCACTGTATGCTCTGTCCTTTCCAATATTATATGATATGTTCCCACAGTATGCAAAAAAACTTATTTACTAACTTAAGAAAAGATAGAATAGATCTTCAGGAACCAGCTTTAGGTATCTGCTGCATGGAGTAGTTCCCATGAACTGTGTCTTTCCACCTACTACATTTCCTTTTTTAGAGCAACAACAGCCTTTCCAGTCACTGTTTCTTCCCTCAGTATTCAGACATGTTTCTGCCTTCCCTCATATCCAGTAGGCAACAGTTTCTCTGCTCCTATTCAAAAAGGCCAACTATCAAATACTAGGGACAAGATAAACAGCAGGGCTTCAACCTCTTCCACACAATTCAACAGTGAGACTGTGGAGGATTCCCTGAGGGCTCATCCCTTTGCTCTGCACAATTCTCCTTCCCCCGTACATTTGGGAAGAGACCTCTTGCTTAGACCCAACAAAAAGCCTGAGGTTTCCAAGATCTTTCAGAACCCTACATATTTCTTCCACTCTCCTGCTGCTGAAACTTCAGTAGCTGTACTTCATTGTTGAAACTGAAATGAAGCATTAAGATACACATCTGGTGTCAAAATCAAAACTTTTTCTCAGTTTCAGGGAGGGGGGAAGAGTGTTAGATGAAGAGATAACATTTATTTTCTTTAAAGCAGCAGATGCTGAGTTCTAGCCCTGCTGGAACTAAACTGAAACTTAGCGTCTAAAACTCTTCACGAATATTTCTTTTCCCCTTTTTGTTTTAAAAGATATGCAGGACTGGAAACTTGATTCTGTATAAAGTAAATTTTCATGCAAGACATATAAAACAGAGTATTTTAATAAAAGTATACCCACAGTTATTCAACTTCTATAGCACACTTCAGCCCTACTTTTCTCTGTGCAGTTCAGTACATATTTTCAAACATGTTTAATTTTAAGCAGAAAGTATGCTTCTCTATGCCTATCCGAGTCATTATTCTCAATGGTTTTCTTTCTATACTGAGACATAATCCTGCCCATGAGGAGGACACATGAACTGGAGCTTCAGAACACAATTCTGCATCCACTACTAGCTAAAAACAGGTCATGCAGGAGCTGTTTGGGTGGATTCCTACTGCTACTTTCAATCACATCTAAGTACACAGACATCACCAATTCCCTTCAGTAACTGACCTCTGAAAGGAATACATGTGGAACAATTCAACAAGGTGACAGAAAGGAAAAGTGAGGTGTATTCACTCGGAGCATAAAACATTGTTCCACAGCAGGTAGACTGAAGCATTTGAAAAGATCACTAGTTTTACTTCTTTTCCTTTGCCACTGCAACTGATGATTCCAGAAATGAAAATAAGTTTAAGTCTGTCTAGCTAGTCCCTCCTGGTTTCCAGGTTATTCACATTATCTCCAGATGGTATAGTATAAGCCTCTCTAGAGACTGCTGCATTTTAATGGATCATTTGTTCCAGACCTCTTTTCTTATTTTCAACTTCAGTAACTATTAAAAACCACAAACAAACCAAAGCCCCAAATACTTTTAAAAGCTAGTATAATCAAGTATAATTGTCACTACCTTTAGTGACCATTCCATGAAGTTAATTAACATCAATGTTATTGTACACTGTATTGTACCCCAGTTACTCTTCTGAAAGCACATACAGATCAGTTCAATCTGGATGGGTGACTTTTTGATTAAAAGGCATTTTTATTACAGTCTAAAAGCTCTCACAAAGATGTTTTCTGAGGAGAATCTTTCAAGGAGGAACATGACTGTGAGACTGCAGTTAGTCTGAAAAATCACTTCACAAGCAATCCAAAATTAACAGAATAAATTTCCTCCTGACAGTAAAATTATTATTGTTTGTACCCAGAAGTTTTATAACTCGCAAGGAACAAGATTCTACTCCAGAATGCACAGCAAGTGCATGGCAAAAATCAGAAACAGATTATCTTCAGTCCCAGCCTGTTAAGAGCTGCAGGACTGCCTGCTACTCATGAAGCAGATCATCTGATCCAAGACGAAAAAAGAGGTTATATCACATAAACTCAAAAACTGAAGTTAGTTACTGTTTTGTTGAATAAGTAAGCTTTCTAATATCTACCAGTACCTGTATTTCTGAGTATGAAAAAGATGCTTTATTTGGCGGAACACTTCAAAATATATAAAAATACGTTCAGTGGAAGGTCTCAATCATTCTGAGTTTGTTGATTCTTGCAGTCCTCCTCTGTCAGTTTAAGTTTATTCCATGCACTTACAAATAGAGATAATCCAAAATCCTGAGTAAAACTAAAATGAAACTTTAGTCCAGTCTAAGAGAAACACAAAGGCCCTCCTGTGTGGTCTAAACCCTCACACAAAATCCTTCCAAAAGGGTGTATCATAGATGACCCTTTGCGCCTGGGTGAATTTTACCCTTTAGGACAAACTGTAATGGGGATGCAATTTATCTTGCTATTTCTGACTCATCTTTTGGCATTAGGTATCTACACTTAAACTAAAAGAGAAAAGTCTAAAATACAAGTCCATGTACATAAAATGCTAAACAGAATGATTAAGTCCTTTCCCAGGCTGAAAAAAAAACACATGTAGTGGGAAACATTTTGCTGAAACAACTTGGATACTTAAACTTGATTACAACAGAAGATCATCTACAGCTGTAAAGCTGCTCAACAGTTCAAAACCAGATCATACTCTGCCTTGACAATGTTGCAAGTTTATGTTCACTAACTGTGTTAAGAACTAAAAAAAATGTATTATTTTTTAATCATTATTTATTTTCTGATTGCTTTAAGGTATTTTACGCTGATTGAAGTTGCATAACAACATATGAAAACAGGCTGAGAAAGTTGGGGCTGTTCAGCCTGGAGAAGAGAAGGCTGCGTGGACACCTCATAGCAGCCTTCCAGTATTTGAAGGGGTCCTATAGGGATGCTGGGGATGGACTATTCATTAGGGACTGTAGTGATAGGACAAGGGGTAACAGGTTAAAACAGGGGAAGTTTAGATTGGATATAAGGAGGAAATTCTTTCCTGTTAGGGTGGTGAGGCATTGGAATAGGTTGCCCAGAGAGGTTGTGAATGCTCCATCCCTGGCAGTGTTCAAGACCAGGCTCGACGAGGCCTTGGGTGATACGGTTTAGTGTGAGGTGTCCCTGCCCATGGCAGGGGTTTGGAACTAAATGATCTTAAGGTCCTTTCCAACACTAACTATTCTATGATTCTATATACAGCAACATTCAGAAATTTATTTTTTTTTACTGTAAGTGAAGCTAGGGAGGAAATTTGGATCAAATAATGCAGCACATGTCCATCACTACACTACACAACCATGGGATGTAGCCACAGCTGCATGGCATAGCCTCTAGTCACCACCCTTCATCTCCAGCATGATGGCAACCAGCCCGCACACACCATGGGCCAGGACCCCAAGCAACTAAAACTGGTGAACTCCATAAACTTCAGTTCAGCTAATGCTGATTTTGTCCAATTGGATCCCAAATGTGTGTCATTTTCAAATTATATCTACATGAATTTCCCTGGGAGGTGGGGAAACACGCTACCTCTCTGGACGAAATTTGTGCTTGTGTGGTCTCTGAAGATCCCAGCGCTGACACTCCTTGCCTGTCTCAGTGTGATCCATTGGCCCTCTGTAACTTTCTCCATTGCAGGTCATGCATTCAACTAGGAAAAAAGTAGGTAGTGTATTATGCTAATGACTTGTAACACACACAAAAATAAATTAGAATAATTAAATCACATCTCTGCTGTTATAAATTGAAATCATCCTAAAGAGAGATAGAAAAGTAATATATTTAAGTTAGGTTGGTATGGTAAATGTCCTTTGGAATAGATTTTCATCTCTTAAATCTAATCCAGATGCTTAAATTTGATATCACTTTATTCACTTTATAGGACACTTATGGTTTGGAGGCAGGTGGGTGTGAGCTGCTAGAGACATTCATGTTCCTAGCACATTTTTTAACCTTAGTTATGGCTAGTAACAGAGAGAGACACATATCTAAGGAAGGAGTATATTTCAGGGGTGATATTTTATGATTAATTGAAAATAATTATTCTAAATCACTCTAAGTCATGGCATAATTACAGCACAAGTTTAAGTACAAAATGACGGCTGAATTTCAGTGCAGTACAGTCTGTTTCTTTAAATTCCCAGCACATTCATACGATACTGTTTCTTTTCGATATTAATTCTTTTTGGCAGCCTAAGCTAAGATACGTTTTCAGCCCTGGTTTGGGAAAGTGGGGGGTTGAGGGAGAATGGGCAAAAGCTACCAAAGGGATTTGATATCACTGCTGAACAAAATATCCTCCATAATTTAGAAAGAGAAGTCTTAAAATATAAAATAAATTCACCATAAGTAACTGTAGACACGTTTCTCAAGTGCTCCCTAATTAGAGTAATTGTAACAAAAGATCACTTAGTAAATAGTAATTTATGCAATTACAGATCTCACACTTCAGACCAAACATCCACTACCAAAGTCTTCATCCTGCAGTGAGCTCCAGGTCTTATCACATTTGAAGCTCAAATTGATCTTTAAATTTTAGCTTTTAACAGATTTTCAAGCTCCTTGTAAATCATTCTCTTCCTCCCTCCTTCTCCCTTTTCTTCCCCCACCACAGTATAGCTATTGCACATGACACATTAGCAGGAAAATTAAAGTCATCCTATCTTGAGAATTTAAATGAGTTGATTGACTGGAACTGAATTGGCTGATTAGCAAGATATAAGAGATTAGTTTGGAGCTTAACAGAACGTAAAATTCAACAAATGCAAGGGTTCACATGAAATATCTTTTGAATTCTGTGAATTGAAAGTTGAACGGGAATGAATTTATGCAAAGTCTTATTTACAGTATTCAATTGAAAGAAAAAAATGGGAAAATAAACCCCAACATGCTTAGATTGCTCTTTTTTCTTGTAGTTAAGTATCTCTATTTTCATCCAAAAGAAGAAGAAAAGTTGATTTTTCCATGGAATGGTACTAGATGATTTTATCATACAGTAATAGCAATGTTAATAGATTCTCTATGTACCAGATAAGTGAAAAAAAGGGTCGCATTTGTGCGATCAGCATAACTTCTTTGTTCCAGCTCCTCCATGACCTGAAAAAAAGCCTCTGAGTCTAAAAGCGTGTTAAAGTCTTCCAGAGTACTGGAACATAACAAGACCTTCTCTTTCTGTAATAACTTCTTTCCTTGTTACCAGCGTTATTCTTGCTGAGAAATCACCAATTCTTTCTCCAAAGTCCATGAGCAAGTGTCAGTGAAACAAGTGGAACTTCTGCATACCTGCTATCAGCAGAAAAAAGGAACTTTCCACATAAGCCTTGCTGGGTTACCTTGTGAGCAGAGGGGGATGTCACAGACTTCATGGCGCGTCTCTGGACTGGTGGTGAAGCACCACGGCCCTCCCTCTTCCCCTCGGGGGTTTCGACAGTAGTTTTCCCGCAGGTCTTTACCCCGATAGCTCGAAGGCAAAAAGCTAGTTTTAAAATGACAATCATTACAGTATAAGAGCATGCAAACTTTGGTGTTAAATCATACTATTTTTTGCAAACAGTTAAAAACAATCCCGTTTCTGCTTCTTTCTCCCTCCACCCTGCCTAAACAAATGTACATCCCCAAATATCTGTCCCTACACAAATACACATCTTCAGTAAGGATTACTCAATGAATGGCCTAAATCTGGGTCAATTAGTCTAGCCCACTGCTTGCTCTAGCAAGTTTTACTCCCATCCCTTGGGCATCCGGAGCCAAATATCTGCCACAGCGCCAGAGGCAGCAACACACTCCATGCTAGCCCTCACTGAACTCTCCTTCGCAAGCTTGTAACTACTCACACAAGGCCCTTGGACAAAGAGGAGAAATGTATCGGGTGCACTGGGCTTTTCTGGGGGGAAAATCCATTGGGTCCATCACTGTGTCAGACCTGTCATTACTGTGTATGTTGTGCACATATACAGCACAATAACATATATAACTGACCCAGCTGGGCTTAGTGCGCACCTACTACATAAAGCCCACAGGCAGAGAAACCTCTCCTCATTTCTGGCCAGGCAGCAGCTAAAACTGAACATCAGGAGTGTGTGAGCGTGACTGAGCACTGTGACACACCATGCTGAGAGGCTTTCACTGCCTGAAACCACAGACAACTTTGCATTTCAGCATCAGAAATTTCCCCAGATTCCTCTTTAGCCATCCTGCTTCATGTTCTGCCATGAACCCTGCTGTTGTCACCTTAGGGTCTGCTACTTATAGACCCACTCATCATTATTATTGTACAAATTAGGTCATTTAACAGCAACCTAGCTGACTTCAACTGTCCAGGGTCAAGTTTTTGTGTTCTTAGCTATCTGTAAAATTTTGTGCTTACCCCTGGAGAAATTCCCACATGCACACTGAGATATAAATATATAAGTAGGTGTGTGTATATATACGTATATATTTACACATAAAAGTAATACTGGTTATTTTTTTCTACAAACTAGGCAACAACACGTAGTGAGGAGCCCAACCCTAGAGCTGGTCTGTTTGATGCCACTGCAAAAGCTCTGACCACACTCAGACTTCATATTGGTGACAAACCCATTGGCACTTCACTTCCAGTTTCATTGCAGTGATGCTTAAAGAGCAGCTAAACCTCTGCAGACAAAGACATTAAATTCCGAGTTATGTTCAATTCCATTAAAACTGTATGGCTTTTGGGTAACTGAAAATTTGGGCAAAATACATAGGGGAATACACGAAACCTGTAATTCATTGTAATACGCTGATTTACTTTTTGAGGTTTCTAAGATTTGTACAGGTTTTTTTTTCTTCAGTATGTTCACATTCTGGTCAAAATATCACAAGTGAAGTGCAGTTTTTATTCTGAAAATGCCTAATATGTTAATTTGGATGTTTGTTTGGGTTTTTCTCTGTTGGTTTGGTTAGTTTGTTTTGTTTTGATGTGTTTTTTGTTTGTTTTTTTTTTTTTTAATTCCCCAAGGGAATTCAGATATATCTATATTCTGTAGGAAAAGAAAATGAATAAAATTTCATCTAACTTCATTTAGATGATTGTAGACTCCTGCAGTTTAAGAAACTGAACTAAAGCACTTGGGACAGTCTTTATACCCAGACACCAATTTAATTCACACAAGAAAAGCAGAAACATATGAAATGTATGGTCCCTGCTGTCCTTGGCATATTCTATGTTACAAATGAATGAAAGCAGGAGTCTGACATGTGTCATTTTAATAATGTTTTATTTCCGTTAATGAAATCTTTGAACTGAGTGAAGTGGAAAATACCTCTGTTAATCACATTGTGGTTCTAGTCAATACAATGCAGAAGCGTTACTGAAAAAAGTGTTTTCCTTATTTTTGGTGCTTGAAGAGAATAATTTTTATGTCATTACTGCTGCCTATAAAATTGTTGCTTCTGGTTTTCCTCTGTAGTCTTGTAATATTAAATCTCACAAATTTTGTTAGCTAAAGACAGCCCTGGGCAAACTTTGCTGATGGGACATTGCAACTAGAGTAAGTGTTAATGTAGTATGTCAGTGCATATTAGAATATCTTATTTAATTTTCCTGCTGAAAAATCTTCCTGCTCAGAAATTATGGACATTAGAAAACCAGGACAATAGGAAAAAGGCACTTCAAATTATATCAGATATGCTGTCATTAAAAATTAAAAAGTCTAAATGAATAGCATTAAAAACCCAAGATGAACTGGAAAACAAATGGCTTCAACAGGTAATGAAGCAACATTCTTGAGGGAGGAAGAGATGAGATGCAATAAAGACCCACCCAGAAACTGAAGATAGAGCCACTCCTAAAACTGCGTACCAATTTAGTTCAACTATATTAGGTAAGGAAAAAAAGAAAAAATCTGAAAACTGAAGCCAGTAAGACTAATGGTAAAAACAGATTCAACAGCAAAAATCACAGAAACAGAACTCCTGTGAAGTGCCAGTCTGATCTTTGATTGTTTCTCTTTGAACTCTTTTGGCATTGGCTTTATCCATTTAAATTAGAAAACTCTTAAGAGAAAAAAATAAAATACTTTTGTAACCTTTACTAGGATAGAGACAAAAACAATAGAACCCTGATTTCAGCTGGGAGTCTCCAGGTTCTACTGGAATACAAAAAATAAAAATGTAATTTGTTAAATCCAGACACAAATTTAAAGGCTGAAGTTATTTCAGTTCTTTCTAGAAAAATAAGAAAAATCAGTAAAGTACATTTCTCCCTTGAATACGAAAAAGGGATTTATTTTCCAATGGCACTTTGTGATAATCAGATGTTGAGAAAAACTGACCTAAAAATCTAAGCCTTTCATACTAATAAGTTCCAAACACACCACTACTGTCTGCTTCTTCCCATCTCCCTCATGTCTCTGATGATGAAATCATATTTTCTGATGTTGAAAAACAAAATTAGCATGCAGCCACCTCATTTATCCAGTGACCTTTTAAAAATTAAACTTATTGCACAAGGCAGGAGAAAAGTCATTCTCATAAAATTCATCATAGAAAAGTGGCTGTCCAAATGTATTAAAGTTGTGTATGCTGTATGTTAAAATGGATTTTAGTCATAATGTATACTACCTAGACACTTTCTTTAATTATATAAATTTGTATGTATGTTTATAGAATAAATGCTCTTGCTTAGGTTGTGATTAATGAGACTTCTTTCACTTCTGAAGGATGAAGATTGTATACTTCAAGGTGTTGAGTCTCAATAGGTCATTGCTGTGGAAACTGATCATATTTATCATATGCTCGTAATTAAGAATGCGTCTGGTCACTGAAAATCAGACACACTACCATCTATATTATAAGCAGCCAAGTCTAGTCAATTCCAAGCCTGAGGCTCAGCTTTGTAACACATAATAAGACAGAACCCAAGTATCCTTTGTCTTTTCATGTTGTTCCAAGATATCATCTTGTACACTGGATAGATTTGGTCAGGACAGGACTCAGCAGTGCACAGCCCAGTTTCTCACTAGCAATCTCCAGCTCAGCTCCTTCTAAACAGAGTGCTGATGCTGGGTGTCCAGAGCAAAAGGCAGCAATGTGGATAGGAAACTTATGGGTGAGAGGACCCTTTGGTTTTGGCTCTTAAGGGTTTACCATCTAAATGGCTAAAGCCAATAGAAAAGGTTTCAAAGAGAAAAGGTCAAAGAGTAGACCAGCACTTCATGTTCCTTTTACTAGTTTCCAGCAACATTTGTTGTGGTTGAATCTGTTTTTACCATTCCTCTTACTGGCTTCAGTTTTTGCTTTTCTACTCTCTTTTTTTTAGCCAATATAATTGAACTAAGTCTACTCTCAAAGTGTAGATTTGGCCTCAGTTCCTCGCTATATGAAGTCTTAAACTTAAAAGTAAGTCCCATACCTGCTGCAACAGTCTATCATATATACATATTGCTTGTATGATCTGAAGGAAAAGATTTCAGTAATCTGTTCAGTCTTTTCCATGTATTTGTTGCCTGCTCTAAGGGCTTTATAGGGTTTAATATATTCTCTAATTATAGAGAATTGATAGTAACTATGCAAAGTACAGTAACAATAATTATACACTGATGAAATATGTGGGATAATATTTTTCAAAGTTACCCATTTTCTGGGAGTCAGTTAGAAAACATTGATAAACTTCCAGACCCGAGGCTGAAGTTAAGCAGATGTTTTGTTTCTGCCAGTAGCTAAGAGATACTAGGATATAAACAGCTTAAGAAAAAACAACCCTGACACAAGAGAAGGGATCCAGACACACAGGCTGGCATTAGGAAAGACCTCTTGGAGAAAGTCCAAGAAGGTAAGTGTTTTCTGGGATCTGGAGAAAGGCATCTCTTGGGGAAAGGCAAGAATACACCTAAGAGGTTTTGTTGTCTAAGGTCAGTTTTCTCATAAATTCTGTTTGCTAATAAGTCAAACCCTGCTTTATGGAAGCTGTCTGGGCACTATTCCCATTGTCTCTGCTCCTGAACTCTTACCTGTGCTCATGGGGGATCATTGAATTCCAGGCTTGACATTGGATACCACTTTTGGTAACAGATACTGTTCCTTTGTAGTCTGCTCCTTTTCCGATGATACAATTCCTGACATAGTCTATTGAAAGAAAGTAGAAGAAAATTAGGATTTTCGTTAATGTATTTAAAATTTAACTCTTCATCCCTTCTCACCTAAAATTAATATATTTATGATTGACTTTAAATAATTATTCAAAATACTGTTTAACTGTCTACATACATTCTTGTACCTTTTTTTCCCCTCATCTTGATCCCTAAATTCCCAAAGAAACCTACTGAAAATGTTTATAAAGTGCCTGATTGACCAAAAGTCCATGTCTGAGGACTTACTTACATCCCCCACACATGAATGAGATAAATAAAAGTTATATTAAGTCTACAGTAACTCATACAACTGAACTTTTAAATATTAAACTGAAGAAGAAATTCAGACTAGTATACACGACAGTAGGCAAATATGTATGCTGGGAAACTGAGCAAAAGCAAGTATGTGAATAAACTTGCATGACAGAAAAATGAGGATATTTGTAAATAATGCTGTAGAATGTAGCTTTCAGAATGCACAAAACCATCCCATGCCCAGGATGCTCCTACAGTCAAAAAGTCACTGACTGACCTCAGCTTTTTCCCCCTCCATAGCTGGAAAAACAAAATCAGTAAATAAATCAGTTACCCTTCTTTTCATACAGATCAAAAGCATGGTCTTGCTTCTTTCTCACACCATTTGTCAAGCTGTTGAAGGATAACCAATGGCACCGTTTTGTAACTCTGTCATAAGCAAAGGCCCTGTAAAGAAAATCTGGATAAGAAAAAAATCTCTGTGTGGTTTATAATAATGACACATGGCCTGCCAAGGAGCATGCAATGACATCAGATTTATTTTTACTGCAAAAGTCAGAGAAGCAGCCCAAATTATTATTTAAACCTACAACTGTGCTGACAAGAACAAAGAAACAAATTAAATTGATGTGGCCATTACATTAAATACCAGCTTGGTTGTTCCCTTGTCATTGAAGATCTTTATTTTGAAAGTGAGATAAATGTGACTGAGACAGCATTTGTGGCCCCAGTTGCACTGTTTTCTGGGGAGGGAGAAGGGGGAAACACTCTAGAATGTCTTTACTGTGCTTATAATATATGTTTGAAATTGTTAAGTATCTCACAATGATAACTTCAGGAAAATTCAAGCACATGGAGTTGTTTCTTGCCTAGAACAACAGAGCTCTTTAAAGCCAAGATTGTTTTTATTTTTATAAATAATCTAAATTGATAGGGTACCTACAGCTTGTATTTGCGTAGGTTTTGTTTTCTTTTTTTCTCTTATTTTTTAGTTGCTTTCACGGATAGAGTACAACGTGTACCAAATTGAGTGGATTTGGGGGGCAAGAAAGACAAAGAGAAGTCAGAAAAGTCAAGAAACTCTTCCAGCTTTTTAAATGAAACATGCAGACCTTTTTCTCCTACCATAATTTTGAAAGGAAATTAATTAAATGTAGGTAAAATATTTTAAAGTATTTTAAAACCACTGTAAACTGCCTGGGTGAGGGCAACTTACATTCCAATATATTCCAAGAAAAAAAAAAAAGAAGAAAAATAACAGAAAAAGCTGAAAATTCTTTTTCCCCTCTTAATTTCTCTTTAGAACCAAATAACAAATCATTGACATTATGCTATTGCTCTAGCCCACCACAATGTATACATTTCTGTCAGTCATTTCAAACCTCCAGAGATATTTTATTCTGACTAGAGAAAGCATTTTAACACTACTTGATAATATCCAAAAAACACACATTTCCTACACTTCATCAGTACTTCAGCTGTGCCGTATTCCTGAGTATTACATCCCTCAACTCAAAGCTTTTTGAGCTTCATTTAGTTCATCATCGAGCTTTTCTTTGTGAGATCTTGCTGGCTTTAGTTAAAAACATTACAAGATCCCATCCAACCTCCCCACTCTTCTCTCTTTCGAACATCCTCTTCATTATCATTTCCATCACCAAACAGATTTTTCATCCAACTGCTCTCTCTATTCTGTTGACTCCAAATGTTTCCAACCTGCTAACCTTCATCCTTCTGTCTTTATTCAGCCTTCTGTTCTCTCCTGGCTGCTTCTCAAATATGAACACATTCAAGTGCCTCTAACTCCATCCCCACAAAAATATCCTTGACCTTTCCTGCCTTTCTAATTACATTCTCCTTTCCCCTCCTCCCTCCTAAAGTGGGAATGCAGAATGCACTGTTTACAAACATTTTGTTCAGTAGTTGCCTTTCAGTTGCCTTTTGGTTTCCTTCCAGTTTGGCTTCAGCCACTCCTGCACACAAAGTTTCTAACAATCTTTTGCTGGAAACAAATCCGGATGGTTTTTACACTTCCAAAGTCAATATGTTTAATCAAATTCTTGGACTTTACGCTACTGATATTGCTGATCACAACAATTTCAACAATTTTTGTTGTTGTAATTTGTACTGAGATAGTTGGTAGGTTTTCTGATCAGATACTGAAATCTCATGGTCTATCTTGGAATCCCCTTCAGTGAAAATACAAAGACACTCCAGAAGGTAAGCAGATAATAAAGAATAACACAGGCACAGTGTTGTAGTTAAGGAAGTGACATGTCATCTACACAGTCAATGCAGTAATAACTGCAATATCTTTTTCTCACCCATAAGAAATGTAATGGGAAAAGCTGCAAGATGACTGAAGGAAAACAGTGGGAGTAATGGACTGCAAATAGTGGTGAATCCTTTAAAGAATAAGAGCAGCTTAGCAGTAGTAAATCTGATAGCAAGCAGAAAAAGATGCACAGAGAATTATGAAGTCAAAAAGACAAGGTAAGTAAAGCTAAGGAGAACTTTGATGGGCAGGAGAGCTAGGAATAGCGCTATAAAGAAGAAACAAGTCTAGATAAGAATCCTGTAACTCAGTTGGAAATCATCAAGAACCTTGCACGCATGATAGTAAGGGAAAAAAAAAGAACGGTCCATTCTGAGAAGTGTCATGTATTGGCTTCAACAAAGAGGTGCCAGAATTAGAATCAGCAACAATTAAGAGAACTTGCTACACAGGATTTAGAGAAGGCTGAGGTTCTGAATGACTTCTTTGCCTCAGTCTTCACGGGCAAAGGCTCTGACTGCACCACCAAAGTCTTGGAAGGTAGACGCAGGGACTGTGAGAATGAAGACCTTGGGCCCAACCAGAGAGGATCTGGTTTGAGACCATCTTAAAAACCTGAACGTGCACAAGTCCATGGGACCTGATGAAATCCATCTGCGGGCCCTGAAGGAGCTGGCAAATGAAGTTGCTAAGCCACTGTCCATCATATTTGAAAAATCATGGCAGTCAGGTGAAGTTCCCAATGACTGGAAAAAGGGAAATATAACCCCCATTTTTAAGAAGGGGAAAATGGATGACCCTGGGAATTACAGACCAGTCAGTCTCGCCTCTGTGCCTGGCAAAATCTTGGAGCAGATTCTCCTGGAAGGCATGCTAAGGCACATGAAAATCAACAAGGTGCTTGGTGACAGCCAGCGAGGCTTCACTAGGGTAAATCCTGCCTGACCAATTTGGTGGCCTTCTATGATGGGGCTACACAACTTATGGACAGAGATAGAGCAGTTGATGTCATCTACCTGGACTTGTGCAAAGCATTCGACACTGTCCCGCATCCTATCTCTAAATTGGAGAGACATCAATTTGATGGATGGACCACTCGGCGCACAAAGAACTGGCTGGATGGCTGCACACAGAGTTGTGGTCAATGGCTCAATGTCCAGCTGGAGACCAGCAATGAGTGATGTCCCTCAGGGATCAGTGTTGGGACCGGTCTTCTTCAACATCTTTGTCGCTGACACAGACAGTGGGATTGAGTGCGCCCTCAGCAAGTTTGCCGATGACACCAAGCTGTGTGGTTCGGTTGATACGCTGGAGGGAAGGAATGCCATCCAGAGGGACCTTGACACGCTTGTGAGGTGGGCTGATGTCAACCTCATGAAGTTTAACCATGCCAAGTGCACGGTCCTACACCTGGGTGGGAGCAATCCCAGGCACAGCTACAGGTTGGGCAGAGAAGAGATTCAGAGCAGCCCTGCAGAGAAGGACTTGGGGGTGTTGGTTGACGAGAAAATGAGCATGAGCCAGCTTCAATGTGCGCTTGCAGCCCAGAAAGCCAACCGTATCCTGGGCTGCATCAAAAGCAGCGTGACCAGCAGGTCAAAGGAGGTGATCCCTCCCCTCTACTCTGCTCTTGTGAGACCTCACCTGGAGCACTGTGTGCAGTTCTGGTGTCCTCAACATAAAAAGAACATGGAACTGTTGGAACAAGTCCAGAGAAGGGCAACGAGGATGATCAGGGGACTGGAGCAGCTCCCGCATGAAGACAGGCTGAGAAAGTTGGGGCCATTCAGCCTGGAGAAGAGAAGGCTGCGTGGAGACCTCATAGCAGCCTTCCAGTATCTGAAGGGGGTCTACAGAGATGCTGGGGAGGGACTCTTCATTAGGGACTGTAGTGACAGGACAAGGGGTAATGGTTTAAAACTTAAACAGGGGAAGTTCAGATTAGCTATAAGGAGGAAGTTCTTTCCTGTTAGGGTGATGAGGCGCTGGAGTAGGTTGCCCAGGGAGGCTGTGAATGCTCCATCCCTGGCAGTGTTCAAGGCCAGGTTGGACAAAGCCTTGGGCGAGATGGCTTAGTGTGAGGTGTCCCTGCCCATGGCAGGGGGGTTGGAACTAGATGATCTTAAGGTCCCTTCCAACCCTAACTATTCTATGATTCTATTATCTAACATGATATTCACAATTTACTTGCAAGCAATACAGAAACTTGCCATACATAAATCAAAAGTTGTCTCAATATTCTTTCTTTATCCCCAGAAAATAAGGAGAGTCTGATACTTTAAGTCTGCAGTGCCTGGAATCTGCCACTTCACCACTTCCTGGCAGATAAGAAACCCAACCCTCTTCCTGCTTATGTACCTCACACAGCACAGACCTAGGTGGTGTTGTTCCCAGTACTATTGTTACAAAATATTTCTATTTTATTTGATCTTAATACTTCAACAAATTGAGCTTACATCCAGAGAATAAAACATCTGTTGTGATCCAAGTAATGGGGAACTACTGTATGGATATGGAGTATCAGAATCAAGCCACAAAAATGTCAGTAAACAAAGGAAAATCCAAGTCTTTTATTTCAAGTCTTTAAAATGCCATTTTGTGTTAATTCTCTTCTTATTTTAGAATGCTCCCACAGCAACTAGTGAACTAATTGGTTTTAATTTAAGTTGGCAACAAATTTCACCTTGCCGTAACCATATGCAGATATGATGTTAAAGACTGGGGATCCTAGGAATAAAAGGGAAACATTAGTAATCACTGGTTCCTTTAAAAGGGAACACATGTCAAATATGTGTTTACAGTAGTATCAAAGAACTATGCACGCTACAAGAGGACTCATCTGGGGCCAAATGGGAAACCACAAGAATGTTCCCAGACACAGAAAATCCATCTTAGTTGTAGCACAGGCAAAACCTAATCACCTACACCTCTGCTGCTAGGCTTCCTTCCTAAAAATCTGTCAGGGAAAACTGGAAATTCAGGGCATGAGTAGTCAGATTTATAATTCTTTTTCATCTTTAGTGCAAAAATAATTACATGACTGATTGCAATTCTATTATCTATGAGTAGGACTCTTCCAAGCTGCCTCCTCAAAGTCTCTCATAGCTTCTCTAAGCTGCTTTATTGGCTGGTTACAGCAGGGATAATATGCTCCTTAATGAATCCATCAGAGAGAAATTCTTCACAAATTGCAATGTTTTAAAAATTCAAAGAGATTCTAGATTATTATTCCTGCAAAATAGAATTAAAAAAAAAAATACTAACCTACTTTTTATTTTCAGAACACAAGCATACCATCCAGAGCAGCTACAACTAGCTTGAGACAGTATTTTTAAGGAGATGTTGGAATACCGAATTGTTGTTTGCTTGGCACTGTTCAGAAATCTTACATACTGTGGAACCTAATTTTACAATACTCCTCTCTTATGACCATCAGAACTCAAGGATCTCTTGCTGTATTGAAGACAACCTGATCCACTTGGCAATAATATCAGTGGAAGCTCTGCCAATAGGAAAAGGAGTGTCTCGTACCACATGAAAAATATTAGTGCCTGGAAAATATTTTCTAACAGAAAATAAGTAAAGTCTGCTCATTGTTTACATATATAAGTAGTCAAAGTACAAAGCAATACAAACTAGATCTTGCAACACGGGAATTAAAGGCTTAAAGAAAGATTAAATTACAATCGAGGCCTGTTTCTGCAACAGAAGAGCTTTTGTTGTCACATTTAGTCTAGCTTCCTTTTGTAGTGACTGTAAAAATTTTTTTATGTGTCAAGATGAGGCTGACATTTAGCTCAGTACTCACCACTACAGAAGTCATCAATTCTCTCCAAGATTCTCCTGCATTCATGTCCTTTCATACACTGCTAATGGTCTAGACTAAGAGAGGCCAGGGGGATACTTTATGTCTAATACATGGGAAAAATAATAGTGATTTGTTCCAGAAAATAGTAGAGAATATGTACAAGGCAGACAAGCAATCAGCTACATGATGTGTTTCTAAGAGACAGCAGATGCTGAAGAATAGTTATGATATACTTGCAATGATTGTGCAGCCCAGAAGGTTCGATTCCATTGTATCAGATTCATAGTACTTGCCAGTGTATTTCAGCAGTGAATGTATCTGTGCTCCATGTGTGAGGTTCCCATTGATTTCAGCAGGAGTAATGTGCAAAGAATGAAGACAAAATATGGTCTGAAGTGGTGCTGAAATACTGCAGCTGTGATGTGTGACAATAACCAATTTATAAAAGACATAAAAATCTCAGAAATGTTCACTGAACACTATAGAGCAGCACAAGTCATCCGCATTTTAACATGAGTACATTTTTTCCAGCTATGTTTTGGAAAAGATTACATATTGGACAAGCTAAGAAGATAGATCAACTCAGATAAAGCTTTACAATAGACTGACACTCTTTAGGCAGGGATAACAAAATCATGGAAATCAAAAAGCATGGTCTTTAGATTGTCCTCAGTACAAGCTATCATCAATGGCAATTACAGACGCCTTGGGTCAAAGGGTGTTACACAGGTTCTATTATAAAAAAAAAAAAACAAACAACCAAACCACGATATCAAACAATTAAAATAATGGAGATACATAACTCACTTGCAAGTGAATAAAAGACCTTTGTTCCTGCTGCATCTCTTGGCACATTGCTCAGTGGTGTTTAACAGCTTGGTTTTTACTTCCAGTGTTTTGTTTACTTTAATGAGCATCAACTCTCCTGTTTTTTTGAAGTCATGAAGAGGGTTTCTTCTTTTTCCTCTACACTCTAAGACAGAAGCAAAGAAGAAAAAAATGAAAAAAATAAACACTGTAAGGAACAGTTCTGAGATTAAAAATGCCACTATATATATGAATAAAATTTATTAGGAATTATAGGAAAATCAGTATCTAAATCTCAAAGAAACTCACAAAAATTAGCAGATACTGAAGAATTGATTATTTTACATGGTCATCACCATCCTTAAAAATAGTGTAGGTAGTAACTATAGAAAACCTAGTTTCAAATAAAAACTTGCATAGTACTGATGAAGGGTAATAGGAAAGTTTTTCACTCTTTGTAAATTTTTTTTCAGAATGTCCAAAATACATCTGATAATCTGAGATTTTATAAAGATTTCCATTAAAAACTTGGGTGAAAAAGGTGTACAGATGTCTTTTTTGGATGGACACAGTGAACTTACAATCAGAAGGAAAGGATATTAATATTACAGAAAGTCTACATCTGAATAAATTTTAAAATCTAAGAACAGTGATAAACTGTTCTTAAAACAGTAAACTTTTTCTCACAAATTGTGAAAAGAAGTGGAGCCTGGAAGTGATACAAAATAGTCGTTTTTGTGACCCCTGCTCCAGTGAAGACTCAATGTGAGTGTTGTGCCCATTTTAAGTGTGACAGATTTAGAATTTTCAGCCCACAGTAAAGATGACAGGGGGATGCAGAGGCTATTGCATGGAAATAGTCTGCACTGTTGCAAATATTTCAGAAAAAAAAAAAAAAGAACGGGTCGATCTGGTTTCTATGTCTCTGTTGGTGGAAGGGGTAGGAAATGTCAGGGGAAATTGGTTAGAGATGTTTGGCTAAAGCGTAAGAAGAAAAGTCTTTGCTTTTTGCAAGAAAAAAAACCCACACCAATATATATGTAGATTTCCCAATATATATGTATATTTTGATTTTTTCTTCCATAAAAACCAGTCTGCCAATGTAGGCTGCTCCACTGTCAGTGAAGGCAGATGAATACATCTGGAGAGTGATTCTCCCTAATCTGACAGATGAGTAACACAGGGAGGACCACTTGCCCTTTGGATCTATCTGTCTTATTTTACTCAGTGGTCCCGGATGATCCTTTTGGATTTTGGATTAATAGCTAACCCAGGTAAGGTTAGGTGAATGAATACTTTCTTAATTCACAAAGCAAGTAATAGTATTTTCAATTACTTCTTTCCATGTACCAGTTTTCACAGCTGTCCCTCCATTTTTCTCTACAGAATCTGCAGTAATGGTAGAACATGAATGTTCAGGATCAATTTATTAAATTTTGACAGAGTTTTTCAAATATATGAAACCTCAGCCTAACGCTCCGTTATCCTGAACAGATAATTCCTCATGCAAGTGCACTTAAGTCAGTAAATTTTTACTTTGTGCACTCTGTGCAGAAGCTCAGAATAACTTTGTAAATCGCAATGGCTGAAGCTCTGGAGGAGTTTCTAATAACTCCACATATTGTAAAGCCAAAGAGGGCTCAAGGGTGTTACTTTTGCAGAACTTCCATCCTGATCATTAAGTAAGCAAGCTCACATTTTCACTGGATTCAGCTAAATCACACCTCTCAGTGGCAAGTTATCCCTAAGACACCTAAAAATACACCAAAGACATTTAAATTAGATTTCACCAAGCTTCAGCCTTATCAAAATAAAACAATTTAAAAAATCAAAGGAGTATAATATCTCTGCTGCAATGCTTCCATAAGATACCTTCATCCCATCCTGGTCTTCATCTTGAACTGCTAAAGGTGAACTAAGCTACTGCTCTGCACCTAAGAGCCCACAGTTTTAGTTCCAACTACAAATATTTTCAGAAAAGAAAAAAAAAAAAAAAACGGTTTTATTTACCTACAAATCTGTGTTCTTATCACATAAAGAAGCTTTAGATGAAAAGACCAAATGCTAATAGTTTTGGTGCTGTGCCGGGGTCTCATATCAGCTCTCTAAATAATTTTCAGCCTTGTATTTGTGCAGTGGACATGCATCCAAACTGAATCATTATGTTTAGCAAAATGCTAGGAAGACATTCTTGCCTTAAGTATCAACACCCTGTTACTGGAAACCACTGTTTTCACTGAAGCTGCTTTATTTTTTCCTATACCTGTGATAGAGCCAAAGTGCTGCAAAAAAGATTGCATCTGCTCCTTAAGACAACCACAGGAAGGCAAGTCTTCTGTAAAGCTTTTGTGGTATATTTCTCCATCTATTATCTTACAATACATATTTGTTAGTTCTGTGTTGTCTCGGCCAGGACTTTAATGTCAAATGGAGGTAAAAATCTGTACAAAAATATCAAAGTGTTTTCTTTCAGTTTCTGATAATAACATTTCCCATGTACTGATAAGTGTCATTATCTTAATTCCTGATAACAGCTTCTTAAACTCATCAGCTAGCATGCAAGAATATTGTTGTAAAAACCCAAAGAATTCTATTCTGCCTGAAAAACATGGTTTACAGTTCCGCTTTTTTGAAAGAAAAGAATCCTAGCAGTTGTCCAAAGAGGATTATGGGTTTGATATTGCATTTAACAATTTATAACAGCTTGGTTTACTTTAGCTTTCAAACAACAGCATTCTATGACTTGCCTATAATCTAAAAAGGCAAAGGGCCAAATGCATCTGTGGTGTGACTGTTAGAATCACGAGAATAATGCAAAGCATTACTTTTACAACAACAAAATAAAATAATTGAGCCTTTCTACTTCAAATTGTATTATTAAAATCTTAAATCTAATATTACCCTAGAAATGTTCTGTGTTACCGGTTATCATGCAATATGCTGTAACTACAGTTCTTAATTTGTGATTGCCATTAATTTCAGTTTCCTAAACTTTGATTTGTTTATACTGTGGGCTGTGTCCTCTGATGGCTTTTGTAGTTGAGGATCATATTGCTAAGGAAGTCTGACATTCCACTTAAATTTGAAAATAAGAGCAGCTGGTTCAAACACAAGAGAATCAAGTCAAATATGAATCAACATTTTTTCTTCAACCACTAACTAAATACATTTCTTCAGTTAACTTCAAAAAATTCCTCAAAAAAAATGAGGATGCTGTCTCTATTTCTTAACATGATAGCAAACTTCCTTGAACAGAAGAAAGAAGTCAGCCAGTGCCCAAGAAAGTGAGACCTACAACATTTGCTCTAGTAGGATGCAGCATTGGACAAATACTCTGTAATTTAATTTGCGATGTCCACAGTCTTCCAGCTGGAACACTTCCATTTTAACAAAACATTTTAATATATACTGAAGGAAAAAAAGTCATACTTCACAGTGAAAGACTGTGAGGAGACCTACAGGTCTCAACTTCCGGTTCCCTAACTACCTTTTTCATACGAAGTTCCTGTATAATCTTCTCGGTTATGAAGCATTAAGTGAGACTGTTCAAACTATAGACCATCTGGAAGTAAAGATTTCCAACAGTACCTTTTCTTGGAGTAGTTTCAGTCCATGCCAAGTCAAGAATCAGAGATAAAGTTATCATTCTGCAGCATTTTAGTGAGAAAACTTGCTAGGAGTTTGCAGAACCTACTTAACTGCAATTTTAATTATATTTATACAAAATAAAACCATGATTCTTAATGAAATTTTGATGGTTTCCTATGGAGTTTTATTTCCTTATTCTGTTTCCTTACACTTGCAGAACTTCAGCATTTTACTAAGTAGTTATTTGTTTTGTTGTGCTGAACTTTCACTGTGTGGGGTTATGATTTTTTTTTCCTATTATAATTATTGGTGTAAGGAAGTTGGATACAGGTCTTTATACTGTGGGTGGACAAAAGACCTTTTATAATTTTCAGTTTTGACATAACAGCACCATTGCTCATTATGTTTGTCAGATGTCAGAGATAAAATAAATCTTTGGGAACAAAAATAAATCAAGAAAAAGAAGGTGTTGCTGCCCATGCTGCAGGGGTTTGGAACTGGATGATCTTTAAGGTCCCTTGAAACCCAAACCATTCTGTGATTCTATGAAGATACCCAAATTACTTGGGCTGGAAAATGCTGCCAGAGAACTTCAGAAACCAGCTGCAGTCCTTCCAAATACAGAATGACATACAAAATAAAGATGGCACTGGGGAGTAAAAGTAAAAAGAGGAAAACTCTTCACATACTGTGTAGGAAGCTCAGAGACTCCTAGGAGTCAAAATATTTTTCAATGAAGAAAAATGGTCATGTAAAGTGACACAATTATTTCAGAACTATAAAAGAGACATAGTCCCTTTCTTTAGTGTCAAATGGCATTTTAGATAACTGTTGGGTATTTTGCATCATGTTTGTAATGAAATGAAGTCACTTGACCTTGAGCAGTTAAGAGATGGACTAATTAGAGATTGAATTATTTGTGTTACAATTGATAACCAGGTCAGAATGTCAAAATGAGATTAGCTATTAACTGAATTTTGCAAACAATCATCACTGCAAGCCAAAGTAAACTGGCTTTCCTCAATGAGCTAAAAAGAACCCCCAAAAACCAAAACCTGAATTGTATGTGACTTAAAACCTGGGGGTGGGGGAAGAAAAATGAGAAATCGACCATCAAAAGAAAAAAAAAAAAAGATAAAGGAAAGAAAAAAATCCCCAACCTTAAACACATGTGAAATAAATGTAGGAAAGCACAGTTCAACACAACAAACATTTTATCAGGAAACACCACACTTGACAAAAAATTGCATTGTAACACCCATGCAAATGCATTCATAACTATGCATCTGAATGAAAAAAAAAAAAAAGAAACAAGCAAATGTTAGATCTCAACAAAATGTACAAAGCAAAAATCTGCAAAGCCATGTATTATCACAGGGTTAGACGATACTTTTCAGCAGAGATATCAAAGCTAAAGACTTATCTCAATATAAATAGTCAAAACTTAATATGAAAATAAACAATAAAGTATGCTTAATTATATGCATAAAATTGCATTGGCAAAGCTTGTGTAAGAAGAAAAATCAATGAGTAGAGTTTGAAATAAAGCAACAGTTCTTGGCATACATGAAAAGCAAT